TTTACTTTGTATTTGCAAATCATTTAAAATATCTAGAGATTAAACGCTTCCCTACTCACCTTTCCTTTTGTTCTGAGAGAAAGCACAAATAATAATTACTTATGAAGAAAAGCGTATGGAATATAATATTAATGATTTTCTCCCAGTTTGTGGTATGACTCATCTTAACATAGTCCCTAAAGAGATGGGGTTTGTTCTTTGCTTTGAAACTGGAAATCTAATTAATTGGTATTGGATTTCTAGAGTGCCGGTGAAGGGAGGAAGGATGGGCTTGCTCTTGGAGCAGCCCCCCAGGAGGGAGGGTCAGTAGCAGAAAGATGACGGCCGCAGCCTTGGACAGTCTCTTTAATCAGAGCTTTGCATTTGTAACACGGGGCTACTACAAAGACCTAGAGCTATTTCATGGCATTTTTGTCTTTAGGGGGGTGAGGAAGAAAAGGACAGACTTATTGTTTTCATTGTCACTCTCTCAGGTCATATTCTTTACCTGAAAAGAACAACCTTGATAGTCAAAGTGCAGAAGAACTGGAGAGCAGGGCATCGAGGAGAAAGCTATTTGTAGGCTCTGAAAATTCAGTTTTATCATCTCTTTTTTCAGTGTAAGAGTTCCACCTGTAATAATGAGATTTCATAAGGTTTTGATCATTTGAAACGATCTGGGATGATCTTTCAGTAAACTGTGGAGTTTACTGAAGGATATTTTTGTAACAGAATATATTTTTATGGTTGATGGATGCAAAATATAGAAAAGTAAATATAATTTGTGACCACTGAGAAAACTGCCTAATTTAAAATTATTAAATAGTATGTTTTAGTATAGTAATGGCTGTTCTTACAGAAGTATAAATATATCTAAGGATTTAAGCTTATTTATATCTGGGACATAAAAATAGCATACTCATTCTTGAAATGCTCCCACAAAATACCAATGTATGTCCGGGTAACATGACAAGATACCTCAAAGGAGTTTTTTTCTTCCTCCTATTTGACTCCAAAGCCCAAATGAACTTTTTACAGAGGTAGTAATTACTTCATGAAAAGTACCCAAATAATATAAATTCATGGCCAGTTTAAGTTAGATTCAGATTACCTTGGTAAAGCCATAGTTCTGTGTATTTTCTATCACTTCATACTATTGAGATTTTAATATTGAGAAGTCGCCAGAGCACAAATCTAATACAGCATTGAATAGATTGACAAGTTAACAAAAAATAAACAAACATAAATATGTATAGATCTTCAATGAGGACAGGCATAAAGGACCCTAAATTCGTTACCCTTTTTTCTTATTTACTTACTCTATGAGTAGTGAACAGTTCCCATTCTCTGAGTAAATATATGAATAGCATTGTGTGAACATTGAACATTTTAAAAGTTCTCTTGCAGATATTCAGTGGCCTCATCTGGAATTTTCTTTGCCTGCACACTAACATAACTTCAGATTGACCTTGGGAAAATTTTCGTTGTTTTCATCCTGAGTCCGGGATTCCTAAAATTCCAGCTTAGACAAATTGTTGGCCATCATTCCTGAACACTGGTCTCAGAGGCCAGGCTGAGATTTCCCCTGGAACAGACGCCACACATCCGTTGCTTTTGCCATGCACTCACGTAACCCACAGAATCCAACACCACTACAGGGGATGTGAAGTATTTTCAGCTCTGTTCAGCCTTTTTTAAAAAAAAAAAAATCTCTTTTTTGAATTTAAAGTTAGTTCCTCACTGTACAGCCCTAAGTTCTCATTTGACTCAGTAGATGCCCCCTACCCCCTTCCCCCAGCAAGATATATCCTCTCATCCCACAAGGATCCTTCATCCCACCTGGACTGCGAGCATGACTGGAACACACAGTAGGACACCAAGACACATGGACAGTATTCCTGGCTGGTTTTCCCCATACCAGCCCTACATTCTCTGTGAGCGCCTGTTAACTGCTGCTTTTCTCCTTTCAGAAATTTATCAGGTGAATGTTAGAAAGAGGGAAAGAATGACATAGTTGATGATTGCAGTTTTTCAGGATGATAATTATTTTATATCCAGGCTTTCCAGTAGAGCCCAAACACATGTTTTGCCCCCTCTGAATCATCTCTTACATTAAATTTTAGGCCCTTAACCTAAATTATGATCTGTAGATTCCTAAAGATGAAAGAAAATGATAATCTCATGCTCTGTATTTTCTGATAAGCATCAAAAATTCAGTGCCTGAACACATTGCTAGAACATTTGGAATACTCCAGTCTGAAAGTCTGTCACTGTTTAGGAACCTGCATGATTGAGTTTTTCCAAGTTTGAATTTTTTAATTCCACAAAATACTGAATGGATTCAGGAAACTTTGAGATCTTCAGCATGATAATCAGATCCTCAAAATGTAAATATCTCACAAAGTATATTGATTGTCTCTGAAAGACTGGGGAAATAAGATACACGGAGGTAATATATAATTCAAGGATTATTGGCAATGTTTTATAACAACTTGAAGTGGACTATGATGTATAAAAATGTTGAATCACTTTATTGCACACCAGAAACTGATTTAATATTGTATATCAACTGTTCTTCAGGTTTTTTTACCAAAGGACTTGGAAATGGATTATCAGAAACATCGTCATTTTGTATTACTTTGCCCTAAAATGAGGCTGAGGATTACTCAGTCTGCACAGTTTTAACACTGCTACACCTGAATGCCACCACATTGAAGACAAAAAGTAAATAAAAGGGAATGCATGGACATTTATAATATCTATTACATGACTTTTGCAGTTCAGTAGTCATGAAACTCAGGGATCCTTTAGGCCTAAACCTGCAGAGACATCACAGGGCAGGGCTGTTAAATCAGAGGAAAAGTAGGTGAAGCAGCAGCTGACAGTGCCTGTCCTGTCCCTGGACTGATGTGGGGAAGGGAGCAGAAACTGAAGAGAAATATACAGCTTCTCAGAGTGAACTGGGGGTGGGGGGAATGTGCCCCAATATGTATTTACTTGGGGATTATTTGGCAATGAAAAAATTGCTGGGAAAAATGGGGAAGGGGGAAGAGGAGTGCCCGAGATCCCGCCTGCCCCAGGTGAGAATGACTGAAGCGCTGGGCTGAGACCGAGCCAGCAGCTAGGGCGAGGGACCTACAGTCAACAGCTGGGGAGGGCAGCAAGGAAGGATGAAGGGAGGACTGGCACATCCTCACATGCTGAGTTATAAAGGCTGTTAGACAAGTCACAGCTCTATTTATAGCCGGTCGCAATTATTCAGATCTAAGCAGGTGAGTCAGGAATGTCGCAGAGTCACCGAGAAAACAGACTCCCTGCTTCTGCCCTCTGCCTTTGGAACTCAGTCAGGAGGAGCTAATAAAGACAGATGTGCTAGTAGTAAGTTACATTTGTAAGCTACTTTATGGGCTTTTTGTTTTGTTTTTCCTTGTTTTTAGCTGTGCTGCACGACAGGTGGGATCTTAATTCCCCAGCCAGGGATTGAACCCATACCCCCTGCATGGGAGGCTTGGAGTCTTAAACACTGGAACACTAGGGAAGGCCCTTACTTTCTGGTTTTTAAAGTGTGTTTTACATATCCCATTTACTCCTGTCACAGCCCGTGAAGCAAGAAGGCAGGAACTAAGGCCTCCAGGAGTTGAAGTGACATGTTGTGACTTGTACTAGTGGCTGAGCTGAGACTTGAGCTACACAGGCCCTCTTCCCTTTTCCACTGATACATATGCATGTGGAAGATTTTCATCAAAATTTAGAGGGCCTGCATAATTCCTAATTATTTTCTATAGGCTCCCAGGTACAAATTAAGCTTTACAGGCTTTCACAAATACTGTGTAAAATCTTCTGTTACAAAAAAAAAAAAGAAGCAGGGTCTGCTAAGTTCATGAAAGCAAGTTGATTCTGAGTACTGAATTGATTTACAGTTTTCTTTGTGGTTCAGTCTCTCAGTCATGTCCGAGAGTGACAGTCAGTCTTTGTGACCCCATGGACTGCAGCACACCAGGCTTCCCTATCCTTCATTTCCTTCACTATCTCCCAGAGTCTGCTCAAACTCATGTGCATTGAGTCGGTGATGCCATCCAACCATCTCATCCTCACAGTTTTCTTGACTTGCATTTAATTACAGTGATAACATGCAGTGTAAACAAGGCTATAATTTATTCCAGGACAAATAATTGGCACATTGTGTTGTGTTGTTTTTTAGCAAATTGTTGAGATGTATCTTGTTACGCTTTAAACTTTCCTTGGTGTTCTCGAAATACCCCATTTGCATATACATTGATGACTGTGCATCTGTTTCTTCCACGAGCCTTTTCCATGACGGAATGTCTTCCCAGGCCTGGGGGGAAGCTGCTTTGCCCATTTGAGTCCAGGAACCCAGGCTGCGCATCTCTGAACTAGATGAAAGGGCTGCCGTCGAAATTCTCCGAGTGCCTGATAGGGTGTCTCACTCTCTGCCTCATGTCGTTAAGCACCTTCCTCCAGACAGGGGCCAGTTTTCTGGTTATTCTAAATGTGAAGGTGACAAGAGGTGGGACAGTCCAAAAGCCACAGGAGTGTCCCGTGGAAGCAGCAACAGTGGTCAGGACTCGTTTTTATTCCTTCAGACACATCTCTGATTTCTCTCCTGAAGCCTGAACTACAGGCTCCTGGTCAGTCATACCTGCCTGGGGAGTCTGCAGAAAGCCCTAATTGTGCTGCAGCATATAACAGTTTTGCAGTCTTTTAAAGAAAAATAAATGCTTGCTGGGGACTGGCATGAAACCTCTAAACTCATTTTATCGGCAGCCTGAAAGGAAGGGGCTCTGAGCCACAGGTCCTGGAGGTGAAAAGTTAATGTTCTAGCTCCTGCTTCCAGCAGTTTCTCCTGTGCCATGGCAGCGGGGATGTTCTCTAACTCTTTCACAGTCTGATCTGATCCTGCTGAAGATTTTTTTTTTTTAAGTCATAACAATAAAAATGTTCTTGTGTCACTCTGTCCTTGAAATAGCACACCAGTTAATTCACACTCGTGTTTGTTGCAGAGAAAGCAGCAGCTGCCAACATCGATGAAGTGCAGAAGTCAGACGTATCGTCCACCGGGCAGGGGGTCATCGACAAGGATGCGCTGGGGCCAATGATGCTGGAGGTATTTCACCCTGCTGTTGATCTTCCCAGTATTCCGTTTAATCTTTCAGTGAATGCTGCTCTATTTAAAATGGACCACCAAGAAGGTCCTACTATATAGCACAGGGAACTCTACTCAATGTTATGTGACAGCCTGGATGGGAGGGGAATTTGAGGGAGAGAACGGACACATGTATATGTATGGCTGAGTCCCTTGGCTGTCCACCTGAAACTATCACAGCATTGTTAATTAGCTAAACTCCAATCTCAAATAAAAAGTTAAAAAAAAATTCATTTTTAAGTGAATATAATTTAAGGCTAATCCACATTTACTTTTCACTCTTAAGATGGAAGTACTACTGACCTCTTGAGCTTACTAATATGTATCTAAAATTTACTCCTGGTTCCAGCTTACATACCTTGCAAACTGATAATGTAGAATTAAATTATAACTAGATTAGAATATAAATTTGACCAACTTTAAGTGCTAGTTGAACATTCATTTCACAAGCACTCATGTTCACAAGTCCTGTTAATTCTGTGATATATTGTGTTTTGAAATGTTGCCAGAATTCTTAGATTTTCACCTGTGCAAGTACAGATACTTATGTGTACAGGCTAAAATTTGAGGACCAAATGGGAGGCTTACACTTTTTATTTATGCTACATGAATCTAGATTATTGGTTTCATAAAGACAAAAATTGAAGTAATATTCAGAACTTTTAAGATAAGCATCACTGCAGTGGGTGGTCTTAACTGCCATTTCTTTTTGAGGGGGGCCAACTTTTTTAATTGGAGTATAATATGTAATTGTTTTACAATGTGTTCATTTCTGCTGCACAACAGTGTGAATCAGCTGTGAGATTGCATGTATCTCCTCCTTCTTGATTAACTGCCATTTCTTTATTAACTTTAGGAATCTTCATGACCAGACTACTATCTAGAATTTGTTAAGTCCCACTTTCTTATTTTATTAACCCAGTACAGTATTAAGCCTCAAATTCTTTGCTGTAAAATTCTGGATGTAGGCTATGGTAAGATGAGGGTAAAAAAATGTCAGTGAATATGTAACAAGAAGCAGAGGAGCCCTGAGACATAAATTATGTCAGTTCTCAGGATAATTTACTCTGCTGATGATATGATGAGATTGAAAATTATCACATGGCCAGAAGGTCTGCAGCATTGCCGTTGTAGAATTGCTTCACTGGCAGCCACCGCACATATAGAAGAAATTAGGATTTTTAAAGCAGAGATAACCAGTTGGCGCATAAGATGATTTTTATTTTTAGAAAGTCTAATTCTGTGAAAATCTACTGTATAATGGGGCTAGGGAGACACAGAAAAAAATGTAAAGATTGTCTGACCCAGTCTTTATTTTTAGAGATGACAAAATTCAACCCTTAGGGCTACCCTGCTGGCCAAAAGACTTTAAAAGACCCTATGTTGGGCCCTGCTTATTTCTCTTTTATCACTGGCTTGAAAACATGTAATGACAATTTTTAGAGAAAAAGCAAAAACACACTTAACCTGATTTTCCAGAGTTGACAAGGCACTGAAAGGCCAGAGAGTGCTCTTCCTACTTGGTTCTTAGAAGCAGCTGAGAAAACCCTTAACTAGGCGTTAACCTAGTTAACCCTTAACTTAACTTAGAATTCGATGAAAGAACTGGAAACAAAATTCATTTGGAAATGATGGGGAATTGTAATTATTACAGTTAGGAAAATCCCATATACCCGTGTTTATTACTTACATTGGGGGTGACTTAAAGTAGGGTGGAAACTTGGGAAGATTTTCAAGGCTTCTAAAAAGAGATGCTGGCAATAATCACAAGGCTATGACTCAAACTCTTTGAGAGCAAGCTCATTAATTGCAGAAATCAGATTGCTGGATGTCAACGATCTTATCTCATAAGATCAAATCCACATTTTCACTGTTGCAAAATAGTCTTCTGAGAATTCAGTGCATTGAGCAAACACCTGTATAACAGGACTTCAGTGCTAAACATGTGAGAGGTATCATGCTTTGAATATAGAGACTTAAAGTTTGAATTTGCATCTTTTCCCTGTTAACATGTAATAATTTAAACAGAAAACTTGCTCTCATTGAGCCATTCTAAGCATAGATGCACTCTCATACTTACATCATAGCATAGTAGTTGCTAGGCAACAAAACTAAATGTCAGGTTTTTTTTCATCAGAGCATATCATAGTGAGCTTTAAGAAAACAAATAGTTTTATAAGGTGAATGAATTTCATCTTTCCACTCTATCTTTACCATTGTATAAAGCAGTAGGAAGCCACATGCACTTCCAAAAGTGACCCGTAGATAATATTATCATGACAATCCCTGTTCAAGGTATGTTTAAAGCTGTGAGTTTAAAAGAACACTTAGTACATAACCAATCAACTGATTTACTTCCTGACCTCTCTCCCTACATACCCATATACACATGCACACATACTCACACAAGGTTTCCAACAGTTGATGCCAACCTATCATGGAAAGCTATTTATACAATCTTGCTTTGGCTTGCACACCAGTGGGAACATCACAGCGAACATTTAAGAAGAGCTTAAAACAAAATGGTGTCTGTATGTATGTATATACATGTGTGTGTGTGTATATACATATATATGTATATATGTACACATACATACATATATGTATATATTTTAAGAACTTTTTATTGTTGCCTTATGGTCAGTTCTAATTTGAGACAGTGCATAGTTTTGTCATGAAAATAGAATTAAAGATGAAATATTTCAAAGAAAGCTCACAGAATAAGAGCCTGTTAAATAATAACTTAAGGAAAAAGCAAACTAGAGGAAAAAGTAAAACACTATGCCCCATTCATGCACATTGTTATATTGGTGTGTCCATGAAACATCCATGTGAAAAACTAGTAAATACACAGCCTGAAGAAACTGGCATAAACTGGGTGGACCCCTTGGCCCTGATCCAAGGAATGCCTGGTCACTATCAAGCCTCATCCAGTCCTAATCATTCCCTGATCCATAAAACAGCTCTGACAAATGCGTATCAAAAACGGAAAGGAGGCAGAACTAAGAGAAACTCACTGAGCGCCCAGACTCTGCATTGTCCAGGCGACCGTGACAAGAAAGCGCTCTGGGTCAACACGGGGAGAACTCTGTGCCACCTGGGAATCCAAGCACAAGCTCTGGAGTCAGCCCACCGGATTTGCATCCCAGCTCTGGTTGCAAGAGCTCGGGCAAATCACTTACCCTCTTTGAGTCTCAGTTTTTCCTTTTTCTGTAAATTGGCAAAGGGAGAAGATTCCTTCCAGGATTGTGAATGTTAAAATGACACAGTGGTAAATTCCCTCGCAATCCAATGGTTAGGACCCTGCACCCTCACTACCAAGGGCCCCAGGTTTGGTCACTGATTAGGGAACTAAAATCCCACAAGCTGCACAGCACGGCCAAAAAAATAAAAAAGTAAAAATAAAATGACACAGTGTGTTTAAGGCTCAGTAACTGTGTCGATATCTACTATTATGTCCTGAAATGATCCTCGGCCCTTCGTCTCCTTCCCTAATCTGTTTCGGAATGATAGCAAAGTGAACCATGCACCCATCACAGGAAAAATGCTCCTGCTCTCCAGTGATTTAGGAACCTATGTCTTAACAACTTGGAGAGTAAAGAAATACAGCCAGGCACAATTAGTTAACTTTCTTTCCCTCAGTGTTAGAAACTTAAACCGCAAGGCCCTGTGTAGTCTCAGCCTGAGGTCCCCAGGAAGACAGTTTTGTCACATCAGAGACACACTTCCCAGAACCTTCCCCCACTGACACCGGACAATAAAGGATTGATGTTGCTTAAAAAGATCTGAGATCCTTTTCAATTATTTTCATTTAAGACTTGGCAGCTTAGCAAAATTTTCTGATTTTTTTCCCCTTGACATTTATCCTTATACTGTGGAAAATTATCAGTGACTTCTCCCTCGCATTGTATTCCACGAGGAACTATACCAAAGGAAAGTAATAACTCTGAGCTGGATCAGTAACATACGAGTTGTTCTCAGCCTTGTGGAGTACATCCATCTCATTCAGAAAATACAGATAAATGCCTGCATACTCTTAACGTGGCAGTAATTATCTCCTGATAAAGTAACAGGGTGAGTGTTTGTCATTTAGTTTATGACAAGAAACCCTGATGTAGGCTCTGTCCCACTTTCTAGGATGGAATCATCTCACCAAGAAAAATGTGTTCGTTGTTTCTGAATGCGAGGAGAGGGGGGAGAGAGATCTCTTTTCTTCTCCATGAGTGAATCATGTTTCTCTTAAAAGGACCGTTCCCTTCTTAACAGTTGCACGTGACCTTCCGCTGCAGTCTTTCTAACACGGTTTGTGCCTCTTCCCGTAGGCCCTTGATGGGTTCTTCTTTGTAGTGAACCTGGAAGGCAACGTTGTGTTTGTTTCAGAGAATGTGACACAGTACCTAAGGTATAACCAGGAAGAGCTGATGAACAAAAGTGTCTATAGCGTTCTGCACGTTGGGGACCACACTGAATTCGTCAAAAACCTGCTGCCAAAGTCCATAGGTAAATGAATGTCCTCCGGGTCTCTCCTCACCACCCCACACCACCCCCGCCCCCACATGCACATCATCTTGGCCAGCGGGAGGTGAAACAGAACTCTTATGTCTATCGGGGATAACAGTAACTGTTTTAAGAGATGCTTGCGTTAAATGTTTTACGCTTAGAAATCATGGAGAAAAGGCCATCTGTAGATATTGGTTTATGGATGATCGTTTTGACCCTATATTTAAAGTAAGTGAAAGGACTTCAGATGGAAAGCAGTCACATGGCAACTATTTTCATGGGGTTTGTTTGGTGGGTTTTTTCAAGACAGTGCTCAATTGCCTCCCACCCTATCCAGTGCCAGCCGACTTTGTTTTGTCCTTTTTCTCCATGACCACTTAAGAAGTAGAAGGTCACGAGAAGCTTGAGATTGAGTTTGAGTCCCGGCTTGTGAAGAGTATGATGTGGGTGTATACGACGTTCTAAAAATGGGAAGGAACAAGTGGCGTGTCGCGGTTCAGATGCTCTCAGCCTGGGAGCCCGAAATGGGATCTTTGGCTTCACAGACCCTTCAGTGGCTCTGCAGGGGACATGGCCATGCACTGCCTCCTTCCCCACCCACTGCTGCCCCTTCCTGCCCTCCTCATATTGACCTGGAAATGCTGTCCAAAAGTGTCCGTGATCATAAAGGGCCATATTTAAAGTGGGTGATTCACTGCATGGGCCCACCTCAGTGGCTGCTTGGGGAGCATAACTGTTCCCACTCACTAAGTGCTCTTTTTTAATATTCTCACTTAAGCTGATAATGCTAAGAACATCTTCATGGCTAAAAAGAAGTGCATATTTTAGTAGAGAATAAAGTTAAGTCCTGAGTTAGCAAATATTTTTGTTCCTTTTCTTAAAACTGTTTATACTAGCTGGTCTCATTGTCACTACAGTAAATAGGAAAAGGTCCTTTCACATTCCATTATGGCTAGCTTTTCTTTTAATAGGATAACCCTTTGTTTAAAGTGACTGCAACAGTAATACAAAATGTGAGATCCTTTTATTATATTCTCTAGTAAATGAATAAGAAAATGGGATTTCTTATTTCAAATAACTAGTATTTTCAAATCTCTTCAGTAAGGTTATGACTTCATCAAAGGACCTGTACTTGTTAATTCACTATTATTATTCACTTGTCTAAAGAGCTCTCTGCCTTACTTTATATTGTATTTTTTTATACTTTCAAATTACTTATTAACCTGAGTTAATAAGAGGTCTTTTTTTCTTTGATTACTCTATGTAGTCTCCTTTATGTAAATAAGCTTTTAAGAATACTGATGGTAAAATAAACTTTTCAGATGTCTATATAAAGCTAGCTGTGGTTCCTTCAGTAAAACAGTTTCTTGCAGTTAACTTGATATTTCCTTTTTCTCTCCAGGATTTGTTTCTTTCTTTCCACCTCTGCAGCCCAGTGTCTGTGGGGTTAGCGTTGTGGGACCTAACTGGTCTTTCAAATGTTTTCTAGCTAGTGACTTTTGAGAGTGCTTTGCTTATCTTATGACCGGCCCTTTTTTATTTCTCTTTTTGGTTTCTCTAATGCATCTCAAAAATTTTAAAAAAGAGATGTCTTTCTTCTCTTCCATCGTCTTTGTCTTGAATTAATATATATGTTTAATATATTGGTGGTATTAAATTCCTAAGTATTGATAAGAAAATAGAAGACATATTATAGTAGTATTTCACTGAAAAGGAATAAATGACATTAGCAGTGTATTCTCAAGATTATTTCAGTCTTAATGAAGAAATATACATGAAGGAAAAAAGAATACAGCCCAATTCCAGATGATACTCTTAAAATTTTGGTGAAGTTTTAGGGAAGAGGGATCAGTAAGAAGCAGCAGTGTGGGATGCCTAGAGTTGCTGGTTACATAGCTAGCGGACCTCAAGCCTTGGAGCAGGAGTACATGTGGGTAGGAGACATGGAGAAGTCCTGACCTTTTAGATGAGGTAGCAGGTGCAGAGATGTCCATGTGGGACCGGGTATGGACAGTGATGGGGCAGATCTTGTGCTCAGCAACATGAAAGGTCCAGCTGGATAGGTAAGAGGGGGCTGGTTAGAAATCAGGGCCTGAACTTGAAGGGAAAGAGTCTGAATGAAGAGTAACCAGTATGAAAGACATTTGAGATTCCCACGAAGTTTCCCAAGAATTCACCCAGTCATTCTTCCCCTATAGATTTTGAAGTTACTTAGAAAAGTGTAAACACTATATAAAAGTAAAATCACTGCGTGTTTCCTACACCGTTTTGATAACTTGGCAGAAGCCAGTCTAATACTAGTTTGTTTACCCTGTTGGGTTGCTCTTGCCTTTTGCTCAGTGAACGGGGGAGCTTGGTCCAGCGAACCTCCCAGGCGGAACAGCCATACTTTCAACTGTCGGATGCTGGTAAAACCTTTACCTGAGTCAGAAGAGGAAGGTCATGATAACCAGGAAGCACATCAGAAATATGAAACTATGCAGTGCTTTGCTGTCTCTCAACCAAAGTCCATCAAAGAAGAAGGAGAAGGTAGGGGCCACTTCTCTAAGATATGTTAATACCATGTATTCCTGTGCTCCTTTCACACTTAAATCTGAAACTAGAGGCCACACAAAGGAAAACTTAGAGGCAGTTCCTTTGTTGTTTTCACCTACTTAACAATTCTTGTGATCAATTTAATTATCAAGTCTTTAAAACAGCACTATCCAATAGAATTTTCTGTGATGATGGCAGTGTTGTGTATCTTCAGTGTCCAGCACAACCACCGCTAGCCACAGGTAGCTGTTGAGAATCTGAAATGTCAGTAATGCAACTGGGGACCAAATTGTCTATTTTGTTTAGTCTTCATTTAAATACCCCCGTGTGGCTAGTAGCTACCCTACCAGAGCAGTTCCACTAGTATTGAACCTCTCAGGGATCCTATGCATCTCTGAACATCTGCAGCAAGGTCCACGCCACACCTTGGAAAACACCCACAGTACAAAGAACATCTGTTGTATACTTGCAAGGGATTAATGAATTTTGTGTGGTTTGTCTGTGGATGCTGCATACAGAATAAGAGAGGATGGAGATGGGAGCGGGAGAGGGAGAAGAGTTCCAAACCGTAAGCTCTTAGGTGCTTCCCTTTAAAGAGATACTGATATAGTGTCCACGCCTATGCCTTCTGAGGAGATTGCTCTACACCTCTGAGACTGTCGCTCTCTATGATATGGGACAGTGCTGAATATGGCCTCCTGTGTGTGTAGCTGAAGGGAAAGAGCCGAGGCCCATCAGCCAGTGGAAACATTGCAGGCCTTATAATCAGACAGGCCAGCTCCTGCATCAGCTGCGAATCAGCGCTGACTGTGGGCCAGCTTCTCAACCTCTTTGAATGCCCACGTATTCTCTCTTTTTTTTTTTTTAATTTATTTCTTTTAATTGGAGGCTAATAACTTTACAATATTGTAGTGGTTTTTGCCATACATTGACATGAATCAGCCATGGGTTTACATGTGCTCCCCATCCTGAACCCCTCTCCCACGTAGTCTCTTAACCCATGAAATCAACAATTCCAGTATCACAGTGTAATAAGGATTAAATGAGCATTCCTGGACCATGATTGGCATAGATATTTAATGCCCTTTTCAAAAAATATGTAAGTAATTTTTAATTTAAATTTTATTGGAAAGGAAGTAATTGAGCTGTCACAGATGATACATAGTTTTCAAAATTAAATTTTTACGTAGAGATGGAATGTCAAGCTGTTTTATTCTCCTGTATGCAACAGAGTAAGTGCTGCTAATTCATCTGTAATATTCTAAAGCCATATTCTATAGCTGAGCTAATTTATGGTTTTGTGCTGTATATGTCAACATGTTTGTCCATTTAAAATCTGATTCCGAATGTTTACATAGAATAGCAATAAGAGTAGGGTTTCTGAGCCATGGTGCACTCACGTTCAAGTCCTCGCTTCCCCAAAATTTTATGTGATGTTGGGCAAGTTACCGAAACTTCATGCTTTGGCTTCTCCTCTGTTAAATGGAGATAATGCTAGTGCCTGCCTCATAGAGTTGTTAAGAGGATTAAATGAATCAGTAGCCTATAAAGCAGCTAGAAAGATGTCTGTCTCATAGTAAGTGCTCAAAAATTTAGCTTTTATTATGTTGAAGATGAGGATTTCATTTATTTTTGTGATACGCACTACTATTGGATATGTTTAAAGACATTCTTTCCCAAATTTAAAATCATAAATCAGTGATATAAGATACGAAGAAACTTTTTTTTAATCAACCTTTTATCCAGCACTTTTGAAATTGAAAGATAAAACACGTCCTCTCTGATCTCCAGAAGTGAACACAGACAAATAAAACAGTTGAAGTAGGGTAAGGAATAAATGCTTAGCATCAGTTATGTGAAATCCTAGCCATGGCCAAGAAACTAAACTTGAGACACACTGCCTTTTCTAGGATTTGTTCTCTGAATCAGAGTCTAGACTCTGTTTATATACTTTGTTTTAAATTGCATATTGCCATTGTAGGAGCATCAGCATAGTTCAGGATAAGGAATATCTAGTTTTCCGATATCTTAATGAACCTAAAACTCAGAGAAAACCCTTGACAGTTTCAGTTGTCATCATTTGTAGGCTTTATTAAGAATTCAGCAGGTTGTTCCTATCAGCCAGTTAATAAGGGTTCCATTCATTTGCACCGCTGGGGAGATAGTTTCAGATGGTCAACTGGAGTATGGCAGATGAGCTTGCATCATGTGTCTTGTGGCTTCAGCAGTTCATCCTCAGCTCCCCATATCTCAACCTCCCCCAGCTGCTTCCCACTCCAGGTGAGGACCAGAGGTACATAGTGTCTCGTTGCTCTCTCCCTTACTGACCTACAAGGTCGTGCTGTCATAAGTGCATTTGATTTTGTTTGAAACACTACGAAAGGCTCCTATGATAACCATCAATGTATGTGATTGAAGATTTACAGTCCTGCTTGATTTGTGTGGCTAGAAGAGTTCCCATGAAGGAGAGACCAGCTCTTCCCTCATCAGAAAGTTTCACTACTCGCCAAGATCTCCAAGGTAAATTTTCTCAGCAGAGAAGGGCAAAGAAATCATTCTAGAATGCTTACGTGTTTGTCAGCGCAAGGAATGGGTCTAGAAGCTGATAAAGGAGCTGAGCATAGCAGCTGCTGCTGGGGCAGAAGCTGGAGGTGGGGAGGGGGGTAAGGGGACACTTCTCACCTTCTACCCTCCTGGTCCACGCACTTACACTACCTATTCCTAAAGAAACCAGTTTTTAATCTTTTTAAGATCTAATTATTTCTCTAAAGAATAGATCAGTGCGTAGGTCAAATGCTCGCTGTTGTTTTCTAGGCAAGATCACGTCCCTGGACACTAGCACCATGCGGGCAGCCATGAAGCCAGGCTGGGAGGACCTGGTGAGGAGGTGCATCCAGAAGTTCCACGCGCAGCACGAAGGGGAGTCTGTGTCTTACGCAAAGAGGCATCATCACGAAGGTAATGGTCTCCTAGTGACACTCTTCTTGAAGTTCATCTTGCTAACTTACCCCTTCTGATAAGCGCCCTGTCTGCAACAGTGATTCCTGAACCCACCCTGGGGCTTCGATCTGGTGACTCTTGCCCAGGACTGTCGCTATCTGAAGGGAAATTGAATAGGAGGAACTGTAGGGCTGAGAGCGTGATGAGGGAAGTCAAATTGAGGGTGATAACCTCTCACAAAGGCAGATGAAAGGGAACGAGATCATTTTCTTCCATGCTCCGGCTTCTAAACATGTAAGACGGTGCTCTCAGGTTCCCTCTAATAGCAAAAAAAAAAAACCTCACCTGAATCATAAGGATACTGTGAAAATAAGAATGAAAGGAAATTTGCAAGAACAGGTGAATTCCTGGTAGAGGTGACAGTGGGATCCTGAGGCCTACCACCACCTTTCAGATGAAGTCTAGAAAGAGACATCACTTCTAGAAAGAGATGAAGTGACTTGTCTGGGGTCATACAGTTGGTTAATAGGACACCTGGAGCTAAGCCCACAGTGTCAGCGTCGTCTTTCAGTAATAATAGCAGCCCTCTCTGAGCACCTGGCCTCTGCCTGGCATTGGCCCCCTTTCTGTGGGCCGCTTGATCCCCACAGTCCACCCAGGGACGTGGGTGTTCGCCCCCCATGCTGTCGATGGGGAACTGACGCAGGTGACGTGAACCTGGGAGACTTCGATTAGAAAGTGTGAGCCCTGGAGGGACCTGGGGTCGTCTTGCTGTCGCTCCACCGCACTGCTCCCACTGCTCTCCTGCAGCATCACTTTTTCTTAGGTGCATTCTGGCCTTTTGCTAAATTGGCAAGAACAAAGGAAAAAAAAAATCCTTTTCTTTAGTGTTTACTACGGACTCCATCGTGGAGGGAGATACTTTTCACTTCCAGTCTTCTGAGCCTTCTCTCCTGGGCCCTGCGTGTCCTGGTGGGGGCACTTGGTTACCAGCATGGATTCCATCAGAGCCACGCTGCCTTTGAGGGATGGGGCCCTGTGCTTTGTAACTGGATTTGGCAAATTGTCTCCGTATTTGCAGAAAAAATTTATAACTCAGTATTGAAAATGCAGTTTTAGTTTGTCCATCTGCCATTTAAGGTACATCCATGACTCTGTTGTTGCTGTTCAGTTGCTAAGTCATGTCCGACTCTTTGAGACCTCATGAACAACAGCACACTGGCCTTCCCTGTCCTACACTATCTCCTGGAGTTTGCTCAAACTCTTGTCCATTGAGTCAGTGATGGCCATCCAGCCATCTCATCCTCTGTTGCCCCCTTCTCCTCCTGCCCTCAGTCTTTCCCAGCATCAGGGTCTTTTTTAATGAGTCGGCTCTATGCATCAGGTAGCCAAAAAGTTTTGGAGCTTCAGCATCAGTCCTTCCAGTGAATATTCAGGACTGATTTCCTTTAGGATTGACTGGTTGGATCCCCTTGCAGTCCAAGGGACTCTCAAGAGTCTTCTCCAGCACCACAGTTTGAAACTCTGGCATTTATCAATAGTGTTTGTATGTTAAAAAGTTGATGCTTTTAAGATTGCTTATGAAAAAATACAAGTCATGGTAAATAACCCTTATTTTTTCTCATCCTGTTTATCCTTTTTATCTTCTTCACCCACATTTCTTAGAAATAAGCACTAAATCCAACCAAAATGTCTTCCAGCATTTTTCTTTAAGTGGGAAAGAAAAAGAGGAAGTAAAGATGCCACATTTGACAGAAATAAATAACTTACCTGTCATTTCACTAGATCTGGTTTAAAATAAAAAGAACAGTAATGAAGAATAAGAAATCCCCCAGCAACCGTGTTCAGTGCCTTGGGCTCTGAATAGCGATGCCCCATGTTTAATCCTGTGGCTTCCTGATTCCTTACACAAGGGTTTACACATATGTCCTAGGCACAGCACTAGGTTTAAACAGAGGGGACCCACTGAAAGGAGACTCTGCCACGTATAAAATACATTTCATCCAAGTGTATGAAATAAGTCAGATTGCAGGTAATCATTAGTATTGAATAAAAATCTACCAGAAGACTTTGTTTACATGGAGGAGCTTCCTGAATGCATTCAGGAGCTTGCGGACATAAATCTGCTCAGCGGAAGTTCTTGATGTAGACAAACAGTAATGGAAAATCTCAAAGGATCACTGCCAAGTTCAGATAAAATTCTGAAGCTATAAGCCATTGGAAATATGAGTCCTATTACAAAAATGGTATTCCTGCTGCTGTTGGCTGGCATCTGAGTATGGAAAGCCAGATGCACATGTGTACAATAATTTGTTTCCAGTACTGCCACTTCAGAGGAATCATGCAACAGTTGGTGGCAGAAAGTGATACGTAAATACTGTGTGTCCCTACCTGGAACTGCGGAGGGGGTTTACCAGGGAAATTGCTCAAAGTGAAATTTTACCAAGAAGTCTGAATCCTCGTTGTATGTCAGCACCTGCCTCTGTTGTGTGTGTGTGTGTGTGTCTTCCAGTAATTTTGTGGAATGATGAATGTACTTGGTCACTTTGGGGCTGACTATTCCACCCACGAAATTTGTGCTAAGGATTATGTGGTAAAAAATGGCAGTCGTCTTAAAATGGTTTAGGAGGTAAGATAACTAAACCATGTGGCCGAATCAAGTGTTCTTTTTTTTAATATGCAGGATTTGACAGCTTTAAAATGCAGTTTTTTAAAGAAAAACCTGAAATTTTGAGAGAAATTATTTTAACCTAGTGTTATATTTTCTGCTGTAGTCCTGAAAATGGAAATAACTGATGTCATTATCCAGATGTTAAACTAATTCCACGTCACTCAGAGTTGTGCTTTTATTATTTCCGTTTTCCATTTAGCCTTCTTTTTTCTCCTAAAAAGATTGCTCTGGTTGTTTATGTTTTACTTCCTGTTGTCCTGACCACAGAAATAATATGTCTTACACACTGAGAAACAAAATTGGGGAATGGTAATATGATACAATGGATTAAATAGTTTGTAACTTCAAGATGAATATTCAGGGGATATATTCAGTGTCATAAGTTTTACATAATATTTACTATTATATTGGTCTAAAGAGAAATTAAAGGCACATCATACCCTTTAGAGGTAATCCTGTTTATAACACCGTATTATTTCCTAATGTTTCAGACAAATCATTGCAAAACTTGTTTTGAGCTAATAAATTATTTATACTCTATTTTACCATGATACTGAAGTTTTTTTTTGTTTGTTTTTGTTTTTTTTTTTTTTTATACTGAAGATTTTTAAAAGAACATAGTTGGGGGATCAAAACTTCATTTGGGGGGAAGAAAACCCAGTATACTGAAATTGTTGGCATCTTGAGAGAAAAATAAATACGCTTTTAAAAATGGATAATGGATAATGTTCTGTCATAAAGTGTTACTTACAACTCTCTTCAACCTGCTGAGAGGAAAATATTAAACTTAACCAAGTTGATTACTGTTTTTATGTCTGGTCCCGCCCCCACCCCCAGTTTTGTTTCTAACCATGCATCTGCTTCCTTGCTCGCCTGCAGTGCTGAGACAGGGATTGGCATTCAGTCAGATCTACCGTTTTTCCTTGTCTGACGGCACCCTCGTGGCTGCCCAAACGAAGAGCAAGCTCATCCGATCTCAGACTACTAATGAACCTCAGCTTGTGATATCTTTGCATGTGCTGCACAGGTAAGCCTCATTCTGACACACCATCTCCCCTGCCCAGCTCAGGAGGCCAAGGTCTAAAAGCAGATTTTATCACAGAGCTTGTCAGCTTGGGTAGACATTTCTGTTGACCAGCCCCAGTCAAGTAAATATAAATTGATTTGTTATTGGGACTTCCCTGGTGGTCCAGTGGTTTAAGACTTCCAGTGCAGGGGGTAGGGTTGGTTTGGTCCCTGTTTAGGAAACTAAGATCCCACATGCCTCATGGCTGAAGAACCAAAACAGAAACAGAAGTAATGTAGCAAATCCAATAAAGACTTTTAAAATGGTCCACATCAAAAAAAAGAGAAGAATAAGTAAACTGTTGGCTAAAAGACAACTTCTGATACTGAAATTCAAATCAAGGCTACACTTTGAACTTTAGCCTTAAGACTAATATATTTTAATTTTTTATTTATTTAATTTTCTTGGCCGAGCCACGCACCTTGTGGGATCTTAGTTCCCTGACCAGGGATCGAACCCAGGCCCTCGCCAGTGAAAACCTGGGAGTCCTAACCACTGGACCACTGGGGAATTCCCAATACTAGTGAATTTTAAAACCTAACTAGAAGGACACAAGCTCACACTAACTTTGAGGAAAACAGATCAGTTCCCAGCGGTGACACATGGAGGGCAAGAATACAGAATGACTTCTGCTCCCATGTGTTTAGATTTAAAACTTTCAAATATACATATACTTAGGAGTATTTTAGATTGTTATTCTCAGCTTTAAATTAACCTTTTGCATTAGACTTTAAATTGAAAGGTAGTAAACATTTTCCCAAAAAATAAAAGTGAGGAAAATTGAATGTTGATTTTTAAAGTAAATATCATAAACCATCCTGTTTTAGAGCACAAATTTAGGGAAATGATTGCATTTCAAGTTATGTAAATATTTATGTGTGTGCTGTATAAAACTTTATGAGGTACTATCAGCAGATATATAAAGTTGCTCTAGAGTTCCTTTTTATTACACTTCTCAATTATGTACTTTGTTATTTAGAAATTAAAATCAAGCGGCCCTGTTTGCCAACTCTTAATAAATCCGACCTCGAACTGAAACAATCTGAAAGTGATTACAGATGGGCCAGATTGCTCCTCCCTAACTGAAAGCTGATGTTTGACAATTTGTGAAACCTGTTTTGTTTGGATTTGTGAACGCATTTGGTAACTCACGAGTGACTGCCAAGCTGTAAATTGAAGCTCACAGGGCTTGGAAAATCGTCCAGCTTAGAAAGCTGCCCTGAGTGCAGGCGTGGGGTGGGGTGGCCTGTGAGTTAGGGACTAAGATCCCAGAGGAAGGATCTGCAACTCCTCGCATGTGGTCTGAGAGGTGCTCACTTGGCCTTCTAGGGGAACCCAGGCAGGGGACCTGTTAAACAGGTAACCGAATTCCCAACACTTTGGGTAACTTTGTTGGCTTGAAAACTTGGAGACTTTCAAATAGTTGGGGCGGAGTTTTTTTTTTTTTTCCCTCTTAAGGTTTACTATTCATCTTGAGCCAAGTAGCCCACATCAAGCTCCAGGCTCACAGATGGGTCTCTTGTTAGGAATTGTAATCTCTGGCAAATAATTGAAGACAGCTATGCTTGCTTGGGTCATTTCTTTCAGACAGTACAAGCTCTCAGTTATTCATGATAATATACCGGTTAATGAGCAAGGTATAGTATGTAATTGGAACCCTGCTAATGTCTTGTCTAGCAACTACGATGTCAATATGGTAGTAGTCAAATTTAAACACAAACTCCCTCTGTAAAACCACAGACGTCTTAATGAATGGACTGGAAAACATCCCTCTTGGTCCTAAATGCTGCATGTTCAATCTTGCCCGTAATTGCAGATGGTTTCATCAAAGTATTATCTTTCTTTTCCTTCCATGTCATCCGTTCTTTTAAAGAAATGAAGCAATCTCATCTTTGAAAATTAATAACAACTTGCTCAGTATCTTCCCTTTTATCTTATATGTCTTTCCTCATCTTACAGAGAGCAGAATGTATGTGTAATGAATCCGGATCTGACTGGACAAGCGATGGGGAAGCCATTGAATCCAATTAGCTCTAGCAGCCCTGCCCACCCGGCCATGTGCAGCGGGAACCCTGGTCAGGACATGACCCTCAGTAGCAATATAAACTTCCCCATGAACGGCCCAAAAGAACAGATGGGCATGCCCATGGGCAGGTTCGGTGGTTCCGGGGGAATGAACCACGTGTCGAGCATGCAAGCAACCACTCCTCAGGGTAGTAACTATGCACTCAAAATGAACAGCCCCTCACAAAGCAGCCCGGGCCTGAATCCAGGACAGCCCAGCTCCATGCTCTCACCGAGGCATCGCGTGAGCCCCGGGGTGGCCGGAAGCCCTCGCATCCCTCCCAGTCAGTTCTCCCCCGCAGGAAGCTTGCATTCGCCCGTGGGAGTTTGCAGCAGCACAGGAAATAGCCATAGCTACACCAACAGTTCCCTCAACGCGCTGCAGGCCCTCAGCGAGGGGCACGGGGTCTCACTGGGGTCATCGTTGGCCTCCCCGGACCTCAAAATGGGCAATCTGCAAAACTCCCCAGTGAATATGAATCCCCCCCAGCTCAGCAAGATGGGGAGCTTAGACTCCAAAGACTGTTTTGGACTTTACGGGGAGCCCCCAGAAGGGCCAACCGGGCCAGCAGAGAGCAGCTGCCACCCCGGGGAGCCGAAGGATCCCAGCGAGGCCAGCCTGCCTCCGACTGGGAGCAGTGAGAGACCCGACGGGCAGAGCCGACTCCTCGACAGCAAGGGGCAGACCAAACTCCTGCAGCTGCTGACCACCAAATCCGACCAAATAGAGCCCTCGCCGCTGCCCAGCTCTCTGTCGGACACCAACAAGGACTCCACAAGCAGCTTGCCCGGCCCCGGGTCGACACATGGGACTTCGCTCAAGGAGAAGCATAAGATTTTGCACAGACTCCTGCAGGACAGCAGCTCCCCTGTGGACTTGGCAAAGCTGACAGCGGAAGCCACGGGCAAGGAGCTGAGCCAAGAGAGCAGCAGCACAGCTCCTGGGTCCGAGGCGACCGTCAAGCAGGAGCCAGTGAGCCCCAAGAAGAAAGAGAATGCACTACTTCGCTATCTGCTCGATAAAGACGATACTAAAGATATCGGTTTACCAGAAATCACCCCCAAACTTGAGCGCCTGGACAGTAAGACGGACCCTGCCAGCAACACGAAATTAATAGCTATGAAAACTGAGAAGGAGGACATGAGCTTCGAGCCCAGTGACCAGGTAAGGTTTGTCGGGTGTTCTCCCAAGGGTACTGATTCGTGGCCGTCAAGGATTTCTCCACAAGGGGCCTGCTGAGGCCTCGGGACTAGATGAAAATAAGCCTCCTCCTTGGTGGTTCTTGCTTTGAAACAGGTAATTCTCACTGAGGCCACGAGTTCCAAATGCTCTTACTTAGCAAAAAATGGAGTCGTCGTCATTCAGTCGCTAAGTCGTCGCCAATGCTTTGAAACCCCGTGGACTGCAGCACGCCAGGCTTCCCTGTCCTTCACTATTTCCCAGAGTTTGCTCAAACTCATGTCCATTGAGTCATGATGCCATCCAACCATCTCATCCTCTGCTGCCCTCTTCTCCTCCTGCCCTCAGTCTTTCCCAGCATCAGAGTCTTTCCAGTGAGTCAGCTCTTTGCATCAGCTGGCCAAAGTCTTGGAGCTTTAGCTGCAGCATCAGTCCTTCCAGTGAATATTTGGGGTTGATTTCCCTTAGGGTTGACTGGTTTGATCTCCTTGCAGTCCAAGGGACTCTTCAAGAGTCTTCTCCAGCACCATAATACAGAAGCATCAATTCTCTGGTGGTCCCTCTTTATGGTCCACCTCTCACATCCATTCATGACTGCTGGAAAACCCATAGCTTTGACTGTGTGGACCTTTGCTGGCAGAGAATAGAGCAGATGCTGACTTTTATTTTGTGAAGGGCCAAATGGTAATATTTCTGGCCACACACCCTGTAACACAGCTATTCAGCTCTGCCGCTGGGGGGGCTACAAAAGCAATCCTAGATGCTAGGGGGACAAGTGAGTGCTGTTCCAGTCGAACTTTATCGACGGGCACTGATGCTTGAATTTTACACAATTTTCATGTGTCACAAGATACTCTTCTTTTGAAATTTTTTTCAATTATTATTAATAACTGTCAATCCCTTCTTAGCTCATGGGCCATACAGAAACAGGTAGCGTTTCGCACATAGGTCAGCTGGGGTTTACCAACCCCTGGTATCAGAAGACACCTCACTTGGAAACAATCACTTCCTTGAAACTGGGTTTGGTCAGGGTAGACTTAAGTAAATGATTTCTTACTTACCTTTCTCTCTTTTTAAGATCAGAGTCTGGCTGGTTTTCAAACTTAATGAAAGTCATTCTACTTCTCTTTATTCTTGGCCAGGACTTAGGCTTGATGCTGAAGAATTTCTTAGGCCACCAGTAAAAACTTATTTAAGGGGAAATAAAGAGGAGGGGAGAGGTAGAATTGTCCTGGGTCTTGGTGTAACTGAGCCACCAAATATCAAATATAAGTGCAAAACTGAAATAGTAGGTGGTGCTATCTGTTCTTACTTGAAAAACAAATTCCCTGGGGAAAAAATCCAGGCTAGCTAAAATAATATTCAAAGTCATCCTTGACACGCTGAAGTAGTGACATCACAGGGAAAATGCCGACAGTCTAATATTTATGTTAAAGAAATGAGTCATTACTGACAGTAATGGCTTGGCATAAGGGGCTTTCTGGGGAATCAGCAACTGGCTGGGTTAACGATATCAGGAGCGCTGCCTTCAGTCGTGGTGGGTTCGAAGTGAAGAAGCTGCCCAAACCTCTTGACTGAAAATGGTTCACTGATGTGGCCTTGAAACTTGTTTTGCAAGTGGACATTTTAGGTGTCACTGATTCAGGTGTGCATGGGGAGAGGAGAGGTTAGCACCCCTGGCCGTCACCTGGGGACCTCGTAGGTGGAGGCTGAGCCTGGGGCGGCTCTAGGGTGGAGAGGCTTGATGGGCCCCCGCGTGGGGCTGAGGCCACACTTGCTCTGACAGCGGGCTCCTTCTGGGTCCTGAGCTCGGAGCTTTCTCTCCGTCTTCCACTCTCATGTCTGGCCCACCACTACCATTCCGTGAGGGCTGCGTGCCCTTCAGGAGAGAAACCGCGTCGTCGTGTAAACCCCTTTGCTGATGACTCCTTAAACTTAGCTGTTGGTGCAGAGTTCTCAACACCGGCTACTCTGTGATGCTGTGAGATCATTACGTGGGGACTCAGCAGAAACTTAACAACCATATCTTGAATACAGTGTTGTGTCAAACCATACTGACAGCTGCAGACGTTTTAATCTTTCGAGGTTTACTAGATTAGAATACACAGGGCTAGTGGCAGTTCTGAGTGGCAGGCACAGATACTGTCACTCGGGTTTCTTGACACACGCTCGAGGGCAAGATGGTGACTCACGAGGTCCACCTTGGCCAAGTGGTTGGGCCCTCCCTCCAGGAACAGTTTATTTCTATCCCTGGACTGAGGCCCTAGGGACTTAAAGGGTCTGGGAAGGGGGGTGCTGTGTGGCATTTTTATATTTAGCTATATGATTACATTAACTTCATACAAGAAACTAACAAAGGTGAAGGGTTTTTTTAAGGCCTTGAGTCACTTGCAGTTTCTAATTGGTATTTATAAGAACATTTTTTAAATCAAAACTGTCTCACTTTGGGAACTTAAAGCACAGAGTATTATCTGCACTAATCTGTCGTTTTGAATAGACACATACAGACATACACACAGACACACACACAGTACTTTTTTCTTAATGAAACCCAGTTCCTGGTTTTACCTTCTATCCATTGCCATTTAAAACCCCACCCCAAAAATACTGCTTCAGAGCAATTTTAACATCAAAAACGTTGCAGCTTGAAAAGAAAGGTTACCACAGGAAGTATGCATTACCTAAATTTAGATCAAAGTTAGAATGACTGACTTTAAGGGGAGAAAAAAAGAAAAGGATTTTTTCACTCCCCTCCCTCCTTCACTTTTCCCAAATACAGATTGATTCTATCTCCTGTTGACTTCTAGGCACATTTATCTAAGACTTTTCTTTCATTTCAAGGGAACACAACACATTTTTATTTAGTAAGATAAACTGCTAGCGAGCCTGAACTGCACAGTTAACTTTCTTGTTATTTTGACTCAGAAAAGAACTATTATCGAGTGTGTGTTTAACCTATCACTAACTTATTAAGGGCAGGAAGTACTTCAATGGCGCTGTTATACTGAAAATAGCATTCTTCACTGGGTAGAGTATTTAAACAACGTTTGTTTCTACAGTGTTTCATAACCAACAGGAAACAATGACAGAAAAATTTCCAATATGTTCACTGGCTTAAGTTATATACTTATTTACACAAGGGAGCATGTGTAAAGGATACTAACTAAATGGTACTCTTAGGCTTTCTTAATGCTACTGGGCCACTTATGATGAGGGTTTAGAAATAGTCTGTAGAGAATTTCTTCTTGCTATTTGGCTCCATTAGAAGAGCAAACCATATTTTAAACTGGTAGTGGCCTGAAAATTTCCCTCCAAACATGGTAGAACTGTGTTACCATTTTTTAAAGCAATTTTCTGTTAGGCAAATATGGTAAAATTACCAGTTTTTAAAAAAATTTTTGAAACATTGTTTTGTAGTTTATTAGAATACATGTCATTAAAATACATATGTTCTTTATATTTCCGTCAGGGAACAAATTGATTTGACACATGAAAAATTCATAAAACCAGGAAAATGAAAAATTACAGAAATCAAGTCCAATTTTCATTTTGTAGAACTTTTACAAAAATCTTTCTGACTCATTTTCTGCCTGAAATAGTTTAAACCAACTCTTCAAATTGATGTGGCTAATTTGAGCGTTCGAAGAGATGCCTAAGCAAAACTTTGAAGTATCTTGGCAAAGCGTTTTAAAGGAAGGCATTAATCTTTTTGTCTTGTGAAGAAATCATGCCTAAGAAAGGAACTAGAGGAACTTTTGATGAGAATTAAAGCTTACAAAAACTTGAGGGAAGAAATGTTTGATCAGAAACTTAGTGTGATCAAATCTACTCCTTCTAGAACTTCCATGACTGCAGAAGAAAATGCCTATAGTTGTCAAAGTTTATTTCTAGGCAGCCAAAGGCATATAGAGACTCTCCTTGAAGAAGAAAATTTCTTGAAGTAAATTTAAAGCAGTTAGATTAATTTGAATGTGTACTCCAAAAATTGACAAGAAATAAGCACAAGCAAAGCAATATTAACTCTAGTGGAGAAATTTTCATAATGCATTTTTCTGATGGTGAACTGAATGAAACTTAGCAGATTATTTGAAATAAAGAACCAAGAACTTGGTTGAAACCATCCAAATGTATTTTAATGTGTGTATGTGGAGAAAGAGATTAATTTTAGCCTTATTTTCTACTCATTATATATATTAAACACAAGAGTAAATCACAATGAAAAACCACGAGTCCTGCCATCAGAGCTCTATTCAAGATGGTTTAAAGTGTCATTTTATTTGAGTGAAAAGAGTTAAAGGTAAAAAAGAAAGGTAGGAGTCTAGATCAAGACTATCAATCTATATTGTAAAAGCTTTCTTTTACACACATCTGGGATTGGGAGCAAATATAAGGGCATTCATTGAGGAAATTAATATACTGTATTTTTAACATCATTTGTATAAATCTGTATTGAGTGTTTCTCATTCAAGGCATCTGCAAAGCTTTCTCAAGAAATTACTTATTACTTCCAATGACCTACCCTCTCACTGCTCCACACACAATTTTAAAACACTCCACACGAGTCAGACTGTAGTAGGGAAACTCTCTAATAAACTTCAGTTTATTAGAACCTCTTTCTTGCGTCCATAGCTATATTCAAGACCCAACTATAAGGATATTTGTCAACTTTTATAAGACTTTTTTTCTGAGAAATCATAAGAATTTTAGGAGAAATGGAGTTGATTCTGGGAAGTTTTCTAAATTACAGGTTTAAATGGTTGCAGGAACCGTGTTGGCTGAGCGTCCACTGCCATGTCCCGGGCACTGTCCTCGGAGGGCGTTAGGCGTCGATCCTGCACTCTGTTTGTGCCTTACCTGTCCAGCAAAACATGATAAAGATGGCTTTCCAACAGAGTCACTGTACACATACGTTTAACTTTCACAAAATTGTCCATACAGATTCAGGAAAAAAAAAGAACAGGTATCTATTAAACGGTTAAGTTGTGTGAGCAGTCTTGCCCACCTCTCAACAGACTTGACTCTGTCTTGGTTTGGTTTGATCTTGGTTCCCTTGAAGCGCTGATGGTGTGAAAATGTAGCTACAGGCTTTTCCAGTGCAGAATGGCTCCCTCATGGACTTCATCAGTTGGGAGTCAAGCCAGAGAGGCAGTGGTGTGCTTTCACCCACTGGCCGTGTTGCCCACGGGTGGGGGACATACAGTATGTTTCCTTCCTGAGCAGCTCTGAGGATCACTTTGTCTGTGTCTGTCCATACTTTAGCATTCTAACTTTAGAACCTAATCCCTACCTAAGATGTAGCTCTCCCAAATTTGATCCCTGCCTCTTTTGTAAGAAACAGATGGCTAAACTAACTAGAAAATGGTCTTATAATTGCTCTAACAGTACATTAGGAATTTCCTGGAAAATGGATCGCCAAGTTCTTGCTAAGCTAGTTGACTCTGAAACAAAGAGTCCAATAAAATATCACTTCATCGTACCCTTTCTTATGTGAGAAATTGTGTCCATTAAAAAGACTTCCTAGATAGATATTACATTTGCCATAAATTGCAAAAAGCTTAGTCCAGCTTCTTGTGTGTAGAATAAAACTAGAAGCCATTCTGCTTTAAGTAAATTATATCATTTGAATTGCTAGTGTAGACAAAAGGGTTAGTCATGGTCAAGGATTGAAAGTCCATCAGTGACTCTGGGGAAGTTACCTAACGTGTTTTTCCACCTACACATCAGGAAAATCATTCTTACCGCTCTCTTCACTAGGAAATAATCTTGGGGTTTAACTTAGCCATTCTCTTGCATGGTTGGCACCGTCTGATTTTAAATACTTGGCACCCAGATAGGTTCTACTTGAAAGAACATAAATTCGGTTGAGGTCTCGGGAAGAAAAGCGCTAGCTGTGAAATAGTGGTGCTGCATACCGTATTATTTTAATGTTGATAATTGAAAGGAAATTATTTTAATAAAGGGAAAAGCCATAAGAAACATGTTTACAGCTTCTGTAAGGTCATTTGATAGATGCAGTGATTGGAAACGACCTCCTGCCTCCCTGCATTTGTCCCCTAAGCTGATGAGGACTGAGAAAACCAGTGTCATTTGAAACTGAAAGTGTAAGCAGTAAAAAAAAAAAAACACCTCTCAAATGGAAAAGACAGGGCTGAGTTGTTCAGGGTTACTTCAAGCTCATTGTGCATTTTACCTCTTGGTTTTTTTTAAAAAAAAAAAAGGAAAGAAAAACAAAGTTATAAAGGGAAACGACCATTTACTAAATACTGATTTCGTGTAAACTTGGATCGTATTTTCCACCCGTTTTTGTTGTTGTTATTTCTTCTAGTGAGTTAACCACTAAACCTGGGCCTAGACTGTAAATCCTAGTACACCCGTGGTTAATTAGAAATACTCATACTCATGATTAATTGAATTATTAGCATAAAATGAAGGGGAATTTATAAATCGCCAATGAATCCCAGTGCTGGAAGAGAGCTTTCTTTCTAATTCAGTCATCTCTTTTTACCAAGGAGGAAATTGAGGAGCAAGAAATTAAATTATTTGTCCTTTGTCAATTTAATTTTTTGTTGTTGTTATTAAAGGTGATAAATGAACGGTGAGGCCCAAGGTTCACAGGTGCCCACATCTCATTTGGCTCTGGTTCCTTGTACCCATTAGGTCTGCAATTGCACATGGGCCTGCAGCGCCCACTCTTAGTGTAGGACTGGATAAACTCTTCTGTTTGTTAACCACAGCCTGGCAGTGAGCTGGACAACTTGGAGGAGATTTTGGATGATTTGCAGAATAGTCAATTACCGCAGCTTTTCCCGGACACGAGGCCAGGCGCCCCTGCTGGATCAGTTGACAAGCAAGCCATCATCAATGACCTCATGCAACTCACGGCCGAAAGCAGCCCCGTGACACCTGTCGGAGCCCAGAAAACAGCGATGCGAATCCCACAGAGCAGTGAGTATGGGGTGTTGACGGTTATGCCAAGAAATTCCCATGTAATCACCATCAGAAACAGGGATTACTGAAATCTGATGCAAACAGCTTAGTCACTTCACAGTTTCTATGGTCAAATAGCACCATCTACTGTCCTGGCCCTTCCAAACAGTAGTCAGAGTGGGTTCTAGTCAGCGTGGCCTTTCTGCAGGCGCTTGTGGTTGATAGAGTCAACACAGAGGGAGACTGACCTGCGCAGATAAGAGTTCTTTGGATGATTGTCATACTTCTCTTCATTTCAGTTACTGCCTTCAGAAATGGAGTTCAAAATAGATTTTATGTGTCTTAATACATGACTAAACACTTAAAAGATAGAAACTTAGAAAGTTATGCTGACTTTTTAGGAATAATACACTCACTAGTGAAAATTTCTTAACCAGAATTGTAAATCTTTATACATGAAAGGGCTATATACATTAAAAATATCTTGTCCTATCTCTTTGGAATCCTCATGTAAATATCAGTTTTACATGGAAATTTATCACAGAAATGGTTTCTAAATGCATCTTGAGTTTAATTATTGTGATATAAAGCTAGAAGACCTTAGATTATAAGATACAATTTGTATCGCTTTTTCTTTTTTTCCATCCTTCACAGCTTGCAGGATCTCAGTTCCCCAACCAGAGGTTGAATCCAGGCAATAGCAGTGAAAGCCCCTTTCCTAAACACTAGGCCACCAGGGAATTCCCTTTTATTTTATGTTTTTGTAGGTTTAAGATAAGTCTTTCTTCACTTAGTGAAGAACACTTACTTGGTTTACAAACTTCATAATTCCCTAACGTTATCCAATAGCTTTTAAGAGAAGAAAATATCTTTCCTGAATGAGGAACATAACTTGTAGAAAGATAGAGAATCTCTTTAGTGCTTGGTTGATGAGCATAATGATTTTTCTCTCTTCAAATACAGTTTGACCCAAAGCTTAGCTGCTGCTGCTGCTGCTAAGTCGCTTCAGTCATGTCCTACTCTGTGCAACCCCATAGACAGCAGCCCACCAGGCTCTGCCATCCCTAGGATTCTCCAGGCAAGAACACTGGAGTGGGTTGCCATTTCCTTCTCCAGGGCATGAAAGTAAGAAGTGAAAGTGAAGTCGCTCAGTCGTGTCCGACTCTTCGCGACCCCATGGACTGCAGCCTACCAGGCTCCTCCGTCCATGGGATTTTCCAGGCAAGAGTACTGGAGTGGGGTGCCATTGCCTTCTCCACAAAGCTTAGCATCTGTTCTCAAATGAGAAATGGCAGCCATCAACCAAATTATAACGTATCTTTGATTAATAGATCTTTTCTTAATTAAAAGATCTTTTCTGATCTTTCTGAAAAGGGTAAAACAAAATAGAGTTTATGCTGGTTATGTGTCAGACCTGCCAATTTGTTTGGGAATGGAAGGTTGCTTATGGCCCATGAGAGATCACAAAGTCAGAGAATTGAGACGTGAATAAGAAACACTCTACTGAGCTTAAGACCCAGAGGAGTTACTGAAGGGCTGTGTGGAAACTCATGGGTTCTCTCCTTTCTGTACCTCCTGGTGTTGTTCAGACTATTGAATAGCATCCAGGTAGCTAAACCTGAGAAAGTCAGATTAAGCATATCCATAATTTTCATTCCAAATAATAAATCTTCTAAATATTTTACTTCTCTTACTGATTGTTAAGGACGTTAATATGTTTTAAATGTTCTGTTTCATGCTGTGTTTATATAATTCAGAGAAAATAAACTGCTTGATATTATTTTATATATTTGCTCTATGAATTGTAATCTACAATATCTTTGTTCTTGTAAAAACACTTACCAAATAACTGGTTGCCTGTGTGAAAGTATAGTACATTGATGTAATGCTTACTACACAATAAACTCTTATAAACTAATCATAGAAGCCATTTCAAATATAAATCTGGAATTTAAAGAATATGTATTTAGAAGATTTAACAGGACCTTAAAGCTTTAATACTGACTTTCGGTACCAGAGTTCACACTTAAAGACTTCCAACTTTCAATGAGAATAGACATTTTTAGCCTAATTCTCTTCCTAGGAAAATCCAGTTAAAATATGACAGTCTCAGTCCAAACCACATGTGTCCAAGTTTGGTGCATTTGAGATATTTATGGCTTCACAGCTGTGACAAAACAGTATTTCTAAATTCAAATAATATATGAAAAACATATTTGTAGTTTATTTAGCAAACACAGTTGAATATCAGAAGTTGATATTGGGGAGAAAAATATACAGTAAATAACAGACATGTTCTCCTCCTTTTTTTTCCTTTGCTTTATTGCTCTGTGAGGTTGTCAAGAAGTAAATTAGAGACGTGTTGATTAGATTGCAAGTCTGTGTTTGGATGCCCCATGTTTTTTTTGTCTGTGAATTTGTCTTTACTAAGCAGCTGGTCCCAGACATGCATACCTTTGTGATTTTACAAACGACATTTCCCCTGAACACTGCTTCTGTTACTATTTTCCATTATCCTCTATTAACCTTCAATTTTCATTTGTTTTCTCCTTAGCTTTTAATAACCCACGACCAGGGCAACTGGGCAGGTTATTGCCAAACCAGAATTTCCCACTTGACATCACATTGCAAAGCCCAACGGGTGCTGGACCTTTCCCACCAATCAGAAACAGTAGTCCCTACTCAGTGATACCTCAGCCAGGAATGATGGGTAATCAAGGGATGATAGGAAACCAAGGAAATTTAGGGAACAGTAGCACAGGTAAGGGCTCATATGCGCTGTTAACTTTTTATCGGTGGGTTATTCAACTTAATGATGTATTCCTCCACATCCAAGTAGTAGAATTTTTCGTGTGAAATTTTTTATGCTAGAAACACATTTGAATGTAAGAAAATTCTGCAGATTTTTCACTGTGAGTGTGGTATATGAAGAATTGGAAAGTGTCCCAGTAGGCTGACCCTTTTTATGCTGTGATCATTGTTTTAACAAGGGTTCTAGTCGCTTGATAATCCTACAGTAAAGACTTATTTCACTACTATTCCAGTTACTATTCTAGACCTTGTAGTGGTTTATGTAGAATAATTTGCTAGTTTTTTGTGATAATCTGCTGATAACCCCAAAAGTGTATTAGTGTTAATCACTCAGTCGTGTCTGACTCTTTGCGACTCCATGGACTATAGCTTTCCAGGCTTCTCTGTCTATGGGATCCTCCAGACAAGAATACTGGAGAGGGTACACATTCCCTTCTCTAGGAGATCTTTCCAACCCAGGATAACCCCAAAACTTCCTATTAATTGATGATTTGTGTTTCATGAATTTCAGAATGAAAGTGTAAAATTTCACCAACCTTTTATACTTGTAACAATAGCAATTCTCATTCTGTAAAATATTAAGAATATGAATTTTAAATGGTAGTGTGCTTAACCTAATAGTAGCTGATCCAAGAACTCCATTTTTAAAAATGTATAAGGTTGCCTGTGATCTAGTTTGACCCTTGACCTGCTGTGGCTTAAGGCGTCTGCCGAGTTTCCCGTACGTATTCCTAAGTGGTAGTCGTCCCCATAGCAGCTGCCACACTCCGAGACTTCCTTCCGGGTCAGGCTAGGAATCGTTGCAGCAGCATTGATGGCTATAACCACCATGTCCTGTACCCTCTGGGTATCCTGCACCCTTAGCATGCTGAGCTTTCTAATGAAGTCCTGCTCACCATTTGTAACTGGAGACAAAGCCATTGAAAGAAACATGTTTTAAGAACTTATGTTCACAGGTTTTAATTCTTGGCATTTTTTTTAGTTTAGTATGTCATCCCTATAATCACATTTCCATTCAGATAAGTGAAAATAAGAGTTCAGCTGAAAGAAAAAAGATGGATTTTTTTTTTCTTTTCACTTTCTGTTGTTGGTAAGCAGTTCACATGGGAAATGTGAGCTATGTTGTGTTAAAATAGTTTATTCATTCAGCAAATATTTACTGGGTGCTGCCTACTAGATGTGTCAGACACTGACTACATCACTAACTTATTTATTTGCAAAAACAATGCCATATTAATCTTATATTATTTTTAAGATAAAGTATTGATTTATATAATAAGTAAAATGTTGACTCACATGAAGTTCTATCAGAGAAAAGGAGCCAATAGTTTATTAGAGGTGGCTCCTTATCAGTGAAATGCAACATCTGGCTTCTTGGAGAAACATTGGGAATTTGGGGACATTCAGTTCAGTTCAGTTCAGTCGCTCAGTCGTGTTCGACTCTTTGCGACCCCATGAATCGCAGCACACCAGGCCTCCCTGTCCATCACCAACTCCCAGAGCTTACTCAAACTCATGCCCATCGAGTCGGTGATGCCATCCAGCCATCTCATCCTCTGTCGGACGTACCTATATTCAAATCTAGGCAGCCTGGAGATGACTGGCATCCAAACTATAAAGATCAAGCAGTGTCTGTGCTTTGCTTTAGGAAAAAAAAAAAAAACGTGAAAGAGACTACCCTGGTTATAATTACATTAATATTTCAAATTATGGATTATTTTCCCTTCTGCTTTCTAGACTTTATATAATCTTGTTATATTGATTAGATAATAGATTTTTTGAAAAAGAAAATGTCCTCTCGCCCAAATCTTTATATCATTCAAGTCCAGTCTTCAAATGGTTTTTAAAATATGTACTAATATAATATTGTCCTAACTTGTTCAGTCTAATTACACTTAACTCTTCATCACCCTGATGAGGTACATTCTTATTTCACCAGTGAAAAACCACCCACAATACACGCTTTCCCCATTTCTGAAATATACCTTGTTTTTAGTTATCATAGTTAAAGTCAACGCAAGCCACATCTTTGAAAGCGGAACTGTTGCACATCCTTTACTGAACACTTCAGAGTGAAGGGTCCTCCCTTGGGGTTCTGCCTCTTTAGGACATGAGTTTTAGCCCATGTCTGGCCATGGCCAGCGTCCCGGGGCCAGAGAGCAAGCACGTGACCTGCCGGCAGAGCGCGCCTCTTGCTGGCGTGTGTGGTCGCGCAGCTGTTACCGTCTCAAGCGTAAGAGGGTTTTTACAAATCTGTCCCTACCCAGTCTAGATCTGCATCACCAGGAACAAGGTGGTCCAGGCACACCGAGGCGGCCGGCGCTTCCTTGCCGTGACCACAAAGAACCAGAGTAGAAGGATGCTCTCATTCCCCCGGCTTCCAAGGCTGTCTCAGTCAGCTTTGAAGCTTAACAAATTGTAGTGCTCAGAAAGGGATTGGAGGATTTAAAGTCTGGCCGAGGCCTCACGGGATATTCTCTGTGATTTTTTAGAATTAGAATATTGATTATCAGTTCTTACCTTGTTTCTCTTGGCCTCACCTCCCTTTTGGAAAATAAAGCATTGACGTGTATATCAGCTAATGTGATTCACTTCCTGAGGAAGGAAGTTGGGGTTATCCACACGCCACAGCACCTGTCTCTAAGTACATATGGGAACAACTTCAACAGCTTTTCCGAACTGTAAAGGGTGGCAAGTCTGTGTTGTGAAAAACTTCATAGTAATTGCCAACTTGTATTTCTTACCCAAGGGCCCACATCTGGCCCAGCGAGGGCGTGAGCGGTCGGGTTAACTGTGTACTGAGAACAACTTGTCTGTCTCGTATAGAGTAAGAGCGTCTAGTGTTCCTACATGTTGACTGTGTTTCCAGTGACCGCATCTCTGTCTTCTCTGCCTTGCCTGTAGGCATGATTGGCAGCAACGCTGCCCGGCCCACTATGCCGTCTGGGGAGTGGGCGCCCCAGAGTCCTGCCGTGAGGGTCACCTGTGCTGCTACCAGCAATGCCATGAACCGGCCGATCCAAGGAGGTATGATCCGGAACCCAACAGCCAGCATCCCCATGAGACCCAGCAGCCAGCCTGGCCAAAGACAGATGCTTCAGCCTCAGGTCATGAATATGGGTAAGGTGGTTCCTGTACTCTTTGCTTTTCATTTTTATGCATTCTTAGAAGGAGAGAGGAACAGCTCCTTTAGTTCTGTCAGGCTTGTCATTTGCGGTTTAGGGAATCCCCCCCCACCCCACCCACCCTGTGGCAAGCTATCATAAGTGGGATCTTGCTGAAAATCTCTGCACAGGGCCATAGAATTGCAGGTTTTCCAGTAAAATAAGAGAACTCACTACCTTTATGATGTTTCATTTTTGTTTGAAACTATCTGATTTCAACTTTTGCAGGGAGTGGATTGCACTGTAACACTAGAAATATCATACAGATGATATTTTAAAGAAGCATTTCAACAGTACAGCAGTGTCCCTAACTCTGCATGGTCATCAGGACCTTAAAATGCAGACTTCTGGGCACTACCCTAGACTAGGTGGGGCACAGTGGTGAAGAATCCACTGCCAATGCAGGAGATGTAAGAGAAGCAGGTTCAATCCCTGGGTCAGGAAGATCCCCTTGAGAAGGAAATGGCAATCCACTCCAGTATTCTTGCCTGGAAAATCCCACGGACAGAGGAGCCTGGCGGGCTATAGTCCATGGGGTCACAAAGAGTCGGACATGACTAAGCACAGCACATTTCACCCTAGACAGACTAGACACCTTAAACAAGACTCTCCCAGGTCTTCACTGAAAGAGTAGGGTCTTATAGAGCAACTCAGAAAATATAAGGATCACTAGAATTCTGTTTGGATACAGTTCACGTTATTAAAATTAATGATCAGACATATTGTTTGATACCATTTATATGAAATGTCCAAAACAGGCAAATCTGTAGATAAAGTAAGATTAGTGGGTTCCTAGGGCTGGGGCTTTGTGGGGAGAATGAGGAGTGACTCCTAATTACATCATGAGGTTTTTGGGGGTGGGGGGGTGAAAACGTCCTAAAATTGATCATTGTGATGGTTGTACAGCTCTGCAACTACACTAATAGACACTGAATCATACACTTTAAGTGAGCTAAGTATATAGTATGTCAATTCTGTCTCAATAAACGATTATTTTTTTTAAAAAACTTAATGTAGCTCATTCTTGTTTCTTAATATTGACATACTAATCTTCCACTTGTCTGTTACCATAATTCAGATAAGGTGATGTTTATGTACTTTTTCATATACTTAGATAGTGCAGGATGTTGTTATTATTTAGTCACTAAGTTGTGTCCAACTCTTTGCCACCCCATGGACTGTAGCCAGCCAGGCTCCTCATCCATGGGATTTCCCAGGCAAGCATACTGGAGTGGGTTGCCATTTCCTCCTCCAGGGGATCTTCCCGACCCAGGGATGGAACCTGCACCTCTTGCATTATTGACAGGCAGATTCTTTACCACTGAGCAACTGGGGAAGCCCAGTGCAGGATGAGTAAGCGCTAAGTCATTACCGGAAAGATGCCAGAATGGTTTTGACATAATAATGCAGAATGATCATCCCGCCCTGGCATCGGTTTTCTTTTCTAGTTGTTTAATTGCTCAGCACATTTTGGCTTATTGTTTCTGAGATGACATTCATGTCACCTTTCTATAGAGAGTGTACTTCCAATTAATAATGCACGATTCCCAAGTGTAAATTCACATAATTTGAGACTTGCATGAAAAATACTAAAAATGGCCAGATTTCCATGCAGAAAATACACTGGGAAATTTCTAAAATACTTAATTCATTCATTTAAAAATCATCATAGTAAATCATTTCTGTCCAGAAATTTCATTTATCCTCAGTCTTTCTTCGTGAATGACACATAGCTTTTGAGCTTGAAAAATGGCTCTATGAGCTTCATTGTGTAGCTGAATTGCTCTGATTTTTAATAAACTCATAAAAGCTGTGAACTCAACAGAGAAGTATCTATTGTAATGGAAGACAGGTCCACAGACAGTGATAATAAAATTATTAAAGAGCTCATATCATGCCTTAGCTTTAAACCTCTACAAAGAATTCCTAAGAAAGAGCATGTCTGAGTTGTCTGAGCCCTTTCTACTCCTGTCTTACTCAGACCAGCACTTCACAAAATTATGTCTGGGACCTTGATGCCCTTTTAGCGGATCTGCAAGGCCAAGACTATTCTCATAATAATATAAAGATATTATTGTTCTCTCATGGACTCACAATAGAGTTGGCTTTAAACAAAATCTTATCTCTGTTGCAAACAAACAACTCATAGAAAAACAGGTCAGATTTGTAGTTACCGGAGGGGAGGGAAAGGCAAGCCAGTTGGAGGTGGTCTAAAGACACAAACTTCCATTATAAGATAAGTTCTAGGGATGTAGTGTACAACATGATCAATATAACTAACGCTGCTGTATGTATGAAAGTTAGAGTAAATCCTCTTGAGAGTTCTCATCACAAGGAAAAGAATTTTTTTTTCTTTTTTTTCATTTGTATCTGTTTGAGACAGTGGATGTTCACTAAATTTAATGTGATAATTATTTCATGATGTATATAAGTCAAATCATTGTGCTCTACACCTTAAACTCATAGTGCTGTGTGTCAGTTATAATCTCAATACTGCTGGAAGAGGGGCTGGGGCTGGGAGGGTCTCGAGGGGTCGCACTGCAAAAAAAATTAAAAAAAAACATACTGCTGGAAGAAAAGTCTTGTCTATAACATAGTGGATTTATTATGATGATTTTTAAATGAATTAAGAATCATTTTTTTCTATTTTCCAGTTTTAATTTTCAATACAGTATATAGCAGTAAGATGCATCCTACTTACACAAAAGCCTGTACATTAATAAGAGTATAAAGACTCCTTGGAGAAGGCCATGGCAACCCACTCCAGTATTCTTGCTTGGAGAATCCCATAGACAGAAGAGCTTGGCGGGCTACAGTCCATGGGGTTGCATAGTCAGACACGACTGAAGTGACTTAGCATAAAAATTCCAAGGGGTTTGGAACTGCTCATCTAGAGTCTCAAAGTGGGTGATTAGCCTTGATATTTATTGCCCTTTTGTTCTATTTCAGAACAAAAATTCTGCCTTTTTATTTCCACCTAATTATTATTATTTCTTTCTTTTCTATCAGCCAGGTATTTCTCTTTCTATTCCACAGCCGAAACAGACACTTCGCTAATTACAAGTTGTAAGATTCAGGGGTTGTTTTCTTCTCCTTTTTCAGGGCCATCTGAACTGGAGATGAACATGGGGGGACCTCAGTATAGCCAACAACAAGCACCTCCAAATCAGACCGCCCCCTGGCCTGAGAGCATTCTGCCAATAGACCAGGCACCATTTGCCAACCAGAACAGGTGAGCACTCAGAAGGTCGCAGAGAGCAGAGTTCATGAGTTCCAGGAGTTATCTTGGCCCTATGCCAGAAGTTAATCTTATCCGTTTAAACACCTGGGGCCTGACCAGTTTTCATGTATTCAAATTATATCACTTACTGGTCTGGGAGTACAGGAGGTGAGGGAGCGAAGAGAATCCAAAAATCAGTCTGACTGAGCATGTACCTTTAAAGATGCTGCAGTTTAGTTGGAAAATAAAATATGTAGACTAATAACTAATATGAGCTAGTATGTACTATAAATGGGGTGATCATTCAATTGGGGTGATTGGGGAAAGCTTCATAGTTCTTGAGAAGTGGTATCATTGGGATTTCCCTGGGGGTCCAATGGTTAAGACTCCATACTTCCAATGCAGAGGGCACAAGTTCAATCCCTGGTCGGGGAACTAAGATCCCACATGCCACGCAGTGTGACCAACAGATTTTTAAAAATGTAAAAGAAAGGTATCATTTCAGTAGGCAGAAATGGCAGGAAGCCAGTTCATCTGGCAAAAGCAGTATAATCAGAGGCCTAGAGGTTACAGCTTTTTCTTGTGGCTGTGGCCCAGCGAGCCCCGACTCTTCAGGATAAAATCCACCTGTCCCTGGGGGCTTAGGTGTTGCTCAAGTTTTAGCTCGAAGGTGGTGGTTCCATTATTCCCTGGAAAGGCGACATCACAGTGTGTTATATGCTAATCTCAGGGTTAGCAAAGCACTGGAAGCAGGTGTCTCGCAGGTGCCCTGAGGCCGGTGTGATGGTGCTGCTCAGCCAGTTGGGTGGGCACACAGCCCCGAGGCAGGGAGATAATTCATGTACTAAGCAGGAGTCAGGTGGGCACATAAAGGATGCAGGCAATGTGTTCTGGGAAGTAAACATTAGGAAACAAACTAGAGGAATTTGGTCTTGAGGCTTGCATGTAAAGAGTTTAGGTTGGAGGCTAGTGAGGACCTCGCTGCAGACTGAACTATTTTGTCCTTTGGAGGTTATTCAAATCTAAAATTATAAAGTACTTTTATCAAATTCACTAATGAGAAAAGCAGAATTTCTGAAATTTCACAAGGGTAGAATATTTCCAGAGCTTGTTGTTTTTTTAAAAAATAAACAGGTTTTAAAGTGATTCCTACTCTGGGATGAAATGCTTTTGCGTAGTTCAGAATTGTGTTGTGGAGCCTGTTTTCCTTTCTGTATCTTAAGAGAATGATGCAGGATTCAGTGTACTCAGTGAAGTTTTAAAAAAATAAAAATAGCATAAGAGAATATGAGCTCAGCAATAGGCTGGGTGAGAAAAAGCTGGAAACTAGTTATTTCACTGAAAGAAAAGACCAGGGCAACTGCTTAACAGCTATCTAAGGAGATAAAGAAGAGAAGGTGCTCGCCAGCTGTATTCCATCCACTTAGTGGAAGAAACTAGTGTATTCAGACCCCGGGTGCCTGTACATCACTTCTGGGGTCTCATTGGACGGCAGTTCTGAGTGGAGTCCAGGATTCTACGTCTCGGACAAGCCCCAGGTGATGCTAGCACCGCTGCTCCTCCACTATACTTTGTAGGGGCGAACACCAGAAGAACCACAGTAGTCAGAGTGGCTCTTACTGGACTGGGTACCAAGGATGGCGTGTGGCCTGTATCACTGGGTTTGCTTGGGAATAGAGCATCGTATAAATAACCTCTGTAGTCTTCCTTAGAGTTGGTACTTTCTCAGGGTCCTTCCAGCTCTTTAAGTCTGATTTCACGGTGCCAGTGAGTATGTGCATTTTCTAAATATGTTTATTTGGTTTGTTAAAAACATACCCATGTCCATGAAAACTTGCACATAGTATAAAAAGTAAACCCAACCCCTGAGAGCTGGTTTTGGATGAGATATCTAAGATTAGTTTCTAGGGGAAAACTAGGCCTAAAGTTGGGATTTTCCCTGATGCCCAAGTCGAGGAGGGTTCTGTTAAAACAAAAATGGGGACTTCCTGGCAGTCAAGTGATTAGGAGGACTCTGCATTTCCATGGCAGGGGGGCATGGGTTCGATCCCTGGTCAGGGAACTAAGATCCCACAGACCACACAGAGAGGCCAAACAATAGCGACAACTAAAAAGCAAAATGGGAGAAATCCAGAGTACATGCTGAAGTCAGTTACAGAGACAACTGTTCAGTTTGCTGGGGGCATTTCTGTGACTCTGCTCTGACCCTGTTCTCATGTTGGTGGTGGTACTGTTGGTTTTCTTTTCATAAGAACTCTGTGGACAGAACAGAACGTTTTTACCATTTTTAAAGTTATTTCAGCTTTTCTGGCCATGTAACTCCTTTTATTTTAAATAATTCACTTAGAAGAAATTTATGACCAAATTTACAGCAATCTTATTGTCATAGAAATTCAGAGATGATGGACAGCAAGGGTTCTAACCACGTCTCTCTTTTTAAATAAAAGAAAAGCAGTATTTTTTTTAATCCCCTATGTAAGTATCAATATCACTGTTAATATTTTATATTTTTACTGCCTACCTATTTAGGAATAGATTTTTTTAATGTTTCATGAACCCAGCATTAGTTTATATATACACATTTCAAAAAGAGAGTAGTTTAGCCCTTAAATTTCTAACATATTCACATCCTCATTTATTTATAATTTTATTTCCATTGGCTGTCATTTCATTGTGGTTTTTTTTTTTTCTCCTTTTATTCATCTGGTAGGTAAAAGAGATGTTTAAAATATAGCCCCAAATGTATAGATGATTTTTGGATGATTTCTGTTGAATGTATGTAAAAGTGAACAGTAGCTGCCTTTCATGAAAGACTTTCTTTCACATTAAGTTCAGAATTTCTGAGTTAATTTGGTGTTCTTTTGTTTGTGGTATGTCTAAGAGTAAAGTTTCCTTGGTTGACTATTAATTTCTCATCATATAGTAGCTGCTACTTTTTTGCAAAATTTTGAAAATACAAGTAAAAAGTGATGGTAATGTTCCAATTTCTCAAACAATAGCTCAGAATTTATCTTATTCCCCTTATCACCATCTTTAATGTCCTAGTAGTCTATCAATAAATGAAAGTATAGATTTCAAGAAATAAGGTTTTTTATCATATGACATCCCTTATATGTAGAATCTAAAAAGACATGATACAAATGAATTTATTTACAAAACAGAAAGAGACTCACAGACTTAAGAGAACAAACTTATGGTTGCTGGGAGGGAAGGGTAGTTAGGGAGTTTGGGATGGACATATGTATATTTAAAATGGATAACCAACAAGTACCTACACAGGGAACTCTGCTCAATGTTATGTGGCATCCTAGATGGGAGAGGGGTTTGAGGGAGATGAATACATGTATATGTATGGCTGAGTCTCTTTGCTGTCCACCTGAAATTATCACATCATTATTAATAGGCTATACTCAAATAGAATATAAAATTTTTTTTTAATTTTTTTAAAAAAGATTTTTATTGACGATGGACCTATCTTCTGCCAGTTCATTCCTTACTACTTTGCCAACCTGGGGCTTCTGTGTGTTCTTCCATTTATTCCTCTGAATTTCATCCTTGTCTTAATACTATATTTGTCAGCCACCATCTAGATTGTAACTATATTTATAATTGCCCAAACTTTAAGAAAAAATTTTCTCCATCATATTGGCGGTCATTTATAAAGGTGAAATTGAAAGTCCAGATCACTATCTTTTCTGTAACCCAAATGTATTATGATGTTTCTCAAAGAAGTGTTGTAACTCATGGTATGCCCAAATTTATGATACCAAGCCACAATGCAATATATTTTTATGAACATAAAAATGTATTTTTCTGGCATAAGGTATGATAACCTGGCTAGATCAAGAACCTTTTATTTTCACCAACTGGCAACTTGCTGAACTTACACAGTTCAGATACCAAGCCAACACAGAGACTAAAGATGCTCACCAGGCACAGCTGAGGTTTGTAAGTAAATGCCAGCATCACGTCAGCACAGCACAGTGAGTGGCCCTGTAGTCGAGGGCAGAGTGGGCATGGCTGGGGGCGACTGGAGGAGACTCGCTGAGCCTGCAGGGGAAGGATCACGGTTGGAGAAGAGGGTGGGAAACGTAGAATGGGAAGTCTTGGCATTATGGTGGGTATACAGCATCTTCTAGGAAAAGGCTGGTTGCCCAGGGCAACTGGGACCCACAGGGAAGCCATAGGCTCTACTCTACACTGGGACAGGTTAGGCTTTACTGAAGTGTGTGTGTCCACCACCACTGGCGCCCTGTCCCAGGGCCTGGGATTTTGTGAGTCAGCTCAGTAACAGAAAAAGGAACCTGGCAACATCGTATCAGGAGAATCAGAGAGAGGCTGTAAGCAGGACAGTATCCCCAAGGCCCCAGCTCAAGTTGAAGAGGGCTTAGACCAAAGTAGGAATCTAGGTCATGCATTAGCTTAACTTTTTTAATTAGAAAAAGAAAAGGAAATCATGTAACCAAAAAATAGGTTATTTTATTATGTAGGAAATCACTCAGATGCCAATGAACGTTTGCAGTAGTTTTTTTTTCCTCTGTAAGCACTGCGATGTGCCCTCCCTGGAGTGGAGTGGTCTTCCACACTACCAGACAGGGTCTCCTCTTCCAGCTGACGCCGGCAGATGCATACGGGGCACCTGCCTTCCCACAGAGCTCCTGCAGCCTCACTCCACTTAAGAGGGACTCGATTTCATAGTAGAGATCTGGGGTGGGGGCTCTGGCTGTGTGGGGATTTAAAGCTTATGAAGAAACAGAAGTTGGAAATTATGAAGTAAAGCTCGAGAAAGAAAATATTAACTAGCATCTTTGGGGAATGAGGTCTCAGCCTAAGAGAAGGTGGTAAATAGCATCCACTCTCTGCTGACTTGAGCTCTTTTTTCATGAAATGTGCATCTGAAGGTTGGTCATTCCTCTCTGGGGAATTTCCTCTGCCCTTTGCTTCCGTGACATGCAGGGCTGTGGTTTTTTTCCTCCTTGTTGCCACTGTTCTGCATCTGCTCCCTCCTCCCACTCCCTAAGTGTAGAGTAATCTGATCACAGTTGTGTTTAGAAAGTTAATTCTGGGAGCACATGGAAGCAGGAAGGGCCTCTGGGGGGTCGGTCTGTTTGGGTGCTTGATGTCTTCCTGAGAACCGAGGCCCTGGCTGCAAGGCCTCTTATGGTATCTCTCAGGTCATGGGATGTGAGCTCGGAGAGCCAAGGACTACGGGCACAGTGTCGTGAAGGGCACACCTACTGGGTGATTTTCTTCACAGGTGACTGGGGCTAATGAAGAGGGTAGATTATTTCTAAGTGCACTGGGTTAGAACTGTTTGAAACTGACTATTGGCGTAAATCCTCAGCATTTCAGGATTCTAGGCCAAAATGGCACTAGAGCTAGCTTTAGAAAACATGGCCTGTCATCCCCATGTGAATCTATCATCGCCTAAGAATGAGAGTGCTGTGCTTATTCAGTCGTGTCCCACTCTGCGACCCAGTAGACCATGGCCCACCAGGCTCCCCTGTCCATGGGGATTCTCAAAGCAAGAATACTGGAATGGGTAGCCATTCCCTCCTCCAGGGGCTCTTCCCAACCCAGGGATCGAACCCAGGTCTCCCATATTGCAGGTGGATTCTTTACCATCTGAGCCACCAGGGAAGGCCATGAATACTGGACTGGGTAGCCTATTCCTTCTCCAGGGGATCTTCCCTACCCAGGAATCAAACTGGGGTTTCCTGCATTGCAGGCAGATTCTTTACCAGCTGAGCTACCAGGGAAGCCCTAAGAATGAGGGTGCTTACTTGTAAACTTCATTCTCTACAAAATATCATGTAGTACCTCTAAGAGGACAAATTAGAGGATCATCTCCCCTTTCAATATTTGAGTCACTCAGAAACTCTTTTTAACTCCCCAAGGTTGTCAGTTAATTTAAATCACAGGACTTTATTATACCATTGAATTTGGAGTGTAGTGTTACAGTTTTATCACGTAAAATATATAACAGACATAATCTGCATGTTCATGGTCGACTTTTCGTGACTAATTTGGTAGCCTGAGAGCCACACTTCTTGAGGATTTTCATAAATGTTTACAAATCCCACTTATGCACGACGGAGAAATATCTTGTTAGTCCAGCCAAGTGCTGTCTAATGGCAGCTGAGTTCAAAAAAATTAATGGAGCTTTCATGCTCACTATGTCCCTCAGTTGGGTCATTCAAGCCTCATGAGAAATAAAACTATGTAATCAATTAGTCTTTACTGCTAAAATCCAGGAAACTCCTTGGACTACTTCAGGGCAAAGTAAATATATGAGTATATATGCCTGAAAAGTCATCGTGGATTTGTGGGAACACAGTGGTCACCCCGGCCAGTGGTGAATCCCTGCTTTGTAGTGTTGCCTGTCTGTTCTCCACCACAGAGTCTGACAAGCTCTCTAAACCTCAGCTTTGCCAGCTTTAGAGCAGGAGCAATAAAAACAGCGATCTTAACATCCAATTCTTTAATGTGTGTCTCACCTATCTCTTGTTGTTTAGTTGCTCAGTTGTATCTGACTCTCTTACACCCATGGACTATAACTCACCAGGCTCCTGGTGAGTTATGTCCATGAGGATTCTCCAAGCAGGAATAGTGGAGTGGGTTGCCATTTCCTCCTCCAGGGGATCTTCCCCACCTAGGGATCAAACCCAAGATCTCCTCCTGCGCTGGCTCAGGTGGATTCTTGGTCACCGAGCCACCAGGGAAGCCCCCTGTCTGTTAGGCACTAAATAACACGTATCTATTTGGGGAGTTGTTGTTTGTGTCTGAGCGGTACTGTATTTCACTACTTTTATTATTAAGGAGGGAAAAAAATGTTCTCTAATCAACTCAGTTTTCCGTGGGCATGAGACAAAGTTTGTCTCTTTACAGACAGCCGTTTGGCAGCTCTCCCGACGACTTGCTGTGTCCACATCCCGCAGCGGAGTCTCCAAGTGATGAAGGCGCTCTCCTGGACCAGCTGTACCTGGCCTTGAGGAACTTCGATGGCCTGGAGGAGATCGACAGAGCCCTGGGGATACCCGAGCTCGTCAGCCAGGTGGGTGCACCGCGAGGGACACACGGATGTCTGTTCTCTTCTGCTCGCACGTAAACAGCAGTCGGCTTTTTAGAACGTGCTCTCCCCTGTAACCAGCAGCTCTGTTTCCTGTCTCCCCCTCTCCTTGTTACACCCACATCAACTTTTGCCGCAGAATGGCAATGACCAAGAATGAATTTTACCTGTAATTTGGATTTATTGGCCAAAAGGCGTAACTCAAGTCCAGGTCACCTGACTGGGGCAGAGAGGAACACACAAGGAGCAGAGGCCAGGAACAGACCACTGCTGTCTCAGCGGTCTAGAACCTTCCATCTCAAAACCATATCCTTCATCTTATATCTGTGAGCTAGTGATAGGAGCTACTTGTGCTAAAACAGGTTGCACATAAGTTAGCAGAAGTCACTTTAAAGGTGAAGTTAGCCAACCTTCGTGGGCTCATATTGCCTCCCCCACTCCTCTGCCCCTGTCCCCTTCTCCAGGGGATCTTCCCAACCCAGGGGTCGAACCCAGGTCTCCTGCATTGCAGATTCTTTTATCGTCTGAGCCACCAGGGAAGCCTGTATAGTTGATTTAGTTGATGACATAAAGTCATTTAAGAGTACTTTATAACAACAATATAATAACCTAACAGAGTCTCATGAAATAACTTGGAGGACTTTTTTCAGTCTGGCTATGTAGCCCAATTAGTGTGAAGCAGGCATCCTGTTTTCCCGTAGAAAGATCACAGGCTCGCTGCCATCTTCTTCTTTTCTCCTCATGAATCATCTTTATTTCTTACTGCTAAGAAGTACTTTCCAGGGTTTGATCTGCTTCCTGGATGTATGACATGTTGTGAGGGTCTGTGAGAAGGGTGGTGCCGAGTCATGGGAGACTTTCTCTGAAGCATTAAAACTAGTCTTGTCATAATCCCCACATTCAGCAGACAGAAGTGGGAGTTAAGACTTGTCAATTCATACTGAGAACAGCAGAATGGAAAGAAATGACTTGAGGTCGCATGATATAACCTGAATAAATCAAGAGAGGAAAATGGAGTTGAAGTATTTCCTGTGTGGCTGGTTTGCTTTGCCTTTTAGTGCTGGTGAGAATTTAGCATTCAGCATTGTTATCCCTGAGTTTCGTCTAAGTGACATTTAAAGATGTGATTCTTGGGGTTGCTGTGTTACTCAGGCATTGTTTTTATCAAAACTGGTGTCATTTCATCTTTAATATCTTCAGTCTTCTTTCTTTTATTTGTGTCTCTATGTTGTCTCATCAAATCCATCCTTATATTACCTGAATTATAGTAATAATGATTATTAGGTGAAGTTGGGGAAATGTAGAACACAAATGGGCTTTATTTGTAGTCATCAGAGTTGTATCTTTTCTTTAAAAATGGAAATTACTTAAACTTTTTCTCTTTTAAAGCTGGGCCAAAACTTCAAGATCTGAGATGGTTTTGTGGATGTACTTAGAGCAGTAATTCAACAATGGATGGTTCCCATGAGTGGGGTCCACATTTTAAAAACTATTATGCACAAGAGGATAGGCCCAGTTCTCACGGTTAAACTTGATCTAAGGGCGGGATTCTGGGTGTCCCCAGGCCTGCTTTCACATGAGTAGACTAGCTTAAGGAAAACCTAGGATGTTACTGTGCTTAAAGCACACATGAGAGATGATTTTGCAGTTGGGTCCTTCCCTCCTATCTGTTGGGAGGTTCGTAGCAGAAGGAAGAAAGAATGAGCCAAGTGCACCCTCTGGATTTGCAGTCATTTTACGGCCACCTGGGCTGAAGGTGTCGCCCCTGGGAAATTCTGGATTTTCTGTACCCACTCCATTCTGAGGCAGATAGATGGGGTAGCTCTAAGAAGTCAAGAAGGACGAACACATTAGATACATCTAGTAGGAAATAAGATGGTGGGACTTTCCTGGGGGTCCAGCGGTTAAGAATTCACCTTTCAAGGCAGGGGGACATGGGTTTGATCCCAGGTCAGGAACCTAAGATCTCACATGCCACAGGGCAACTAACCCTTTGTGCCACACCTAGAGAAGCCCCTGCACCACAGCAAAGACCCAACACAGCCAAAAAAAAAAAAAGGAAAGAAGATGGTGGCAGAATGTGGACCGTGTAGGGAATTCTGACAACCACGACAACCAAGGAAAACAGTCAGATACAGGTGGTGTGTTACACTGCGGTAAATCACAGACTCAACTGGAACCTACTCCTTACCTGCCAGGCAGGCTTGCTACAGCTTACCTCACCTCTCCAAGTCTCCCTTTAACTGTCTGCAAAATGGGAATAATAATGGTGGGCACCCCAACACTGTTGACCCCAGCCAGATATATCAAGGCAGTTGTCTACTTGAAGTGATTTATACAGCTGTGAATAGCAGTCGGAACACTGAACACACCTGGGGGACGTTTGCATTTTCAGGTTCAGGTCAGTCAGATTGGTGGTGTGAGTAGGAGGCTTTCTATACTCATGACCACTTCCCCCTTCCCTGGGAAGAAGGGTTGCTGGGAGTCAGGCCTGAACCCTGCTTCTTGCCTCAAGTAACTGGATCTTTTGAACAAAGAGGCATTTTCTCTTTGTGGAGAGAGGAGTGGAGTCATGGTCGAAGTACTTTTGTGCCATAAGTACAACAGCAGAAGCTTCAGAGACAGGGCAGTGAGAGGAAAGTCTTATGTTCACTCTGCAGTTTCTGCTGGTTTTATTTATGTGTTGGTCATCTGGGGGCTTTCTCTTCAGAGCCAAGGTGTGGACCCGGAGCAGTTCTCCAATCAGGATTCCAGCCTCATTCTAGAGCAGAAGACCCCTGTGTTCCCGCAGCAGTATGCGTCTCAGGCGCAGATGGCCCAGGGCAGCTACACACCCATGCAGGATCCAAACTTCCACACCATGGGACAGCGACCCAGTTACGCCACCCTCCGCATGCAGCCCCGGCCTGGCCTCAGGCCCACGGGCCTTGTGCAGAGCCAGCCCAACCAGCTGAGGCTTCAACTGCAGCATCGCCTCCAAGCACAGCAGGTGTGTTCCTGGCCACTACCCAGAAAGTCGGGGTAGGGGGACCCAGTGAAGGTGGATGTGAGATGGCAGAAGAATGGGGGGTCCTTTTGGGGACTTAAGTTTCATTCTGTCCTAAGACAGTGAAGATGTTGCCATGATCGTACAGCTTTCATGCTCATTTTCTTCCTTCCCTTCTTGCTCCTCTGCTGACTCTGCTCCAGCTAGAGCAGCTCTCCTCTGATTTCCTAGCTTGGTGATTTACTGAGGGACTGATCTTGAGTTCTCTAAGCCTCAGTGTTTCCATCTATAAAATGGGGCTGTTAACAGTCAAGGGCTGTATGTATGGGTTGACAGGACCCAGCACAGTTTCTGGCCCCAAGTGAGTACCCAGGACACCGGGAGCTCCTGCTGTGAGTCCTATCTTATGATCAAAATCGTGGCTTTTAGCAGAATGGTGGCAGAAGGGTGGTGCATTGTGGAGTAGTTATTTTGCTCAAGAAAGTATGCTTTCACTGAAGCAAGCCTGGACAGATTTCTGTCATATAGTAAATAACAGTATTTAGACTTTAAAAATCTCCCCTCTTTTTTTCCCTCTGCTTTCTTCCCTAATCTTCCTTTTGGCTCTTCTTCTGATCATTCTACTCTTTTTCTCCCTTGCAAACAGTGTACTTTCCAAACTGTCCAAAATAACTTCTCAGCTACAAGCAGTGGGGAGCATCCCTTGATAACTAGCTTTACAAGGTTATCCAGCTACACACCGTGTGGTTTCAGTATCCAGCAGCATGTGTATGTTGGGCTTGGGGGCTGGGGAGGTTTCTTGAGGTGGGAATTTGAAGTAAAATATATCTGTTTAAGTGTATTGATTGCCATATATATGCATTTAGAATCGCCAGCCACTTATGAATCAAATCAGCAACGTTTCAAACGTGAACTTGACTCTGAGGCCTGGAGTACCCACACAGGTAAGGGGCAAACAAGCTGTCAGCTTTCACTGTATCCACTTAGTCTGTCTCATCATTTCTTCCCCCTTGATATCCCATGTAAAGTAACTTAGAAGGCCATAACATAGATCTAGATCCACATGATGGAGGTCATGCCATTTGCTTATCAGTCTAGTCTGTTGCCTTTGTGGTTCCCTCCCCATCACTGCCATTTTTATTGCTCCATGTGGTCAGTTATCATTATTCACACTGATTGTGTTCAGTACTGGGTTTCTCTGATGGCTCAGTGAGTAAAGAACCTGCCTGCGATGCAGGAGACCACAGGGGATGCAGGTTCAGTTCCTGAGTCAGGAAGATCCCCCGGAGGAGGAAATGGCAAGCCACTCCAGTATTCTTGCCTGGAGAATCACATGGACAGAGGAGCCTGGGCTACAGTCCACAGGGTCACAACAAGTTGGACACGACTGAGCAAGCAAATCAGTTGGACTGACTAAACAAGCAAGCAAAGTTACTGCCAACACTGAATTGGCAAATATTGAACCGTTGCTCCTAGGAGAAATAAAGTGTTCAGTTTCTTTGAGCCTCTGGTCACATTTTCATCAATCAGTCCATGTGTTTTTCTGTTTGAGGACACCTTTTGTAATGTATATTGTTGATTCATTAACTTCGAACTCAAAGCCAACAGCACCATAATTCCCGCCTGAATGAAGCTCATCTAACTCACACAGTTTCCCCCACAAGGCACATCAGCCTCCTGGATTTTTTAGGACACTAGATAGCCCTTTGGTGCTAGTCTCAGGAACCATTTTAAACAGCAGAGTCCCTGGTGAAAAGCACAGCAGTGTGAAAACCGTGGAGCTAAGTCATCCACAAGAACACTTGTCTGCAGCGTGAACACTGAAACAAGAGCTCATGTCACCTCGTTTCAGCCGTGGGTGGGGACGTGGATGCTGGGCTTCTCACATTTTTTGCTGTGCCACACATATCCACAAATGACAATGGTGCTGTGAGTATTGGTTCTGGGGCGACAAGTACATGTTAGCGGGTAGGCCAGCTCGCCAGTACAGAATCCACGAATAATGAAGTCAGCTGTGTACGGCCAGGATCCATAACCAGCCTGTCCTGCTCACTTGACAGCAAGCATCCCTCCTTCCCCTCCACCCTCCATTCTGGCCTCTGTCACCCTCCTCTCCCTACATAACCCCCTTTCTTCCTGCCTCTGTTCAGCCTTTTCTCAAATGCTTCAAAGCCACCTTTCAGCAAAGTGACTTGGTGTCCCTTTAGACTTGAATGTCCCTTAATGAGCCTCTAAGCTGCAATCTTCAAGGTTCCTGCACAGTCTTCTTGCAGACAGGACTGATGTTGCCTGGGGTCCCGTAGTTATGCTGTCCTCTCACAGTGAGTCTCGAGTTTATTGATAGTAACACTGAACTTAACCCACATCAGTCATTGCGAGGGTTCCGATTCCTCACTGTGTGTATAGAACTCAGGGCTCACATTCTCCACCGCCGGTTGTTCAACTCTAAAATGTTCTCTCTTTATTTTCCAAATAATGTTGTGTGAGCCTGTACCCTCTGTTATCTTGCTTCTAACATGCAGTTTCTTTTTCGATCTGTGCCCACCCCCACGTCTTCCTCCATGTATTGCCCACCCCCATTCCAGGCACCTATTAACGCCCAGATGCTGGCCCAGAGACAGAGGGAAATCCTGAACCAACATCTTCGACAAAGACAGATGCATCATCAGCAGCAGCAGGTTCAGCAGCGAACTCTGATGATGAGAGGGCAGGGGCTGAACATGACGCCCAGCGTGGTAGCTCCCAGTGGCGTGCCGGCAACCATGAGCAACCCCCGGATCCCCCAGGCAAATGCGCAGCAGTTTCCATTCCCTCCAAACTACGGTATGGGACCTAGACCCCCACCACCTTTCACTACTCCTTTCTTCCCAGGGTTCCCCCACTGTCCGGGGTCGCAGCTCTTTGTGTGGATCCCAGATGAACCTGGCTAACCAGGGGATGCTAGGAAACCTGGAAGGGCAGCTGGGGCTCATCAGGAGTCCCCAGGTCCAGTGCAGTATCTTCTGTCTCTCAGCTCAGCCACTACCCTGTCTCTGAGCACAGGTCTTACTTTAAGAATAACCAGACTAGGTGGGCATGTGTAGAGTGCCAGTCGTATGCATGAGCACATACGCATGTCTGTAAACACAGGTGCATGTGCGTATACTTGTACTTGAAAACCTCTGTGTCTGCTTAAACAAACTGATAGATACAAAATGCTGAAAGATGTATATCCTTTTAAGTGTTACAGACCTTCTATGACTTTAGAAAAACAAAGTCACAGTCACCTGATGGCTCAGATGGCAAAGAATCTGCCTGCAATACAGGAGGACTCGGGTTTGATGCCGGGTGGGGAAGATCCCCTGGAGAAGGGAATGGCTACCCACTCCAGTATTCTTGCCTGGGAAATCTCATGGACAGAGGAGCCTGGCAGGCTACAGTCCATGTGGTCGCGGAGAGTTGGACACGACTAAGCGACTAACACTTCCACTTTGAATATTACACCAAATCTTTAATGAATTGATAATTCTTCAGAAGTGCCTTACAGAAACCACAGTGGACTAGCTCTTCATTTTCTTTGTATTGATTTGTTGTTTAATGTCAGTCTTAAGAAACAAGCAGAAAAAAGAAACAAGCATGCTGTGTCATAAACATTAATATTTGTGTGCATGTCATATTTGGTTAATAGTTGAATTATTGATAAAAGTTAAATGCTTACATCAAGGTTAACATTCAAAGTGACTCTCCCCATCTCCCACCAGAGTTCTCTAAAAACAACTATCCAGTCTTTGTGGTGCTTGAAACCTCACATCTCCTATTTCTTTAAAGACACAGAAGGATAATGTGCAGCTTTTTCCTGTGTGATCTTAAGTTTTTCTTTCAGAGCTTATTAAAGTAGTCATTAAATATGCATGTTTTACAAATCTTCTAGGCAAAAATGGGATTACCTTAATGTCATCCCTGAAATTTTCTAAAAAGCTGCCTCCTTTGTTTCCCAGCTCTTCCTCTCTTTCTTGATTATTTAAGAAAGTCTGCTCACAGTTCTTTCTTTCCTTTTAATGTAAACACCATTTGCCTCTAAACTGAAGCTAACATGGAGTTTGTTTTTCTTATTCTTGTTAATCTTGTATAATGCAAAAGTATCCCAGATACTTGTATAGTGTACAAGTAATCTTATATAGCATATAAGTAATCTTGTGTAGTATACAAGTAATCTTGCATACTATACAAGTATCCTTTATGAATACACAGCAAGCTAATCATGAATGCACTTACTTTTTTAAATTTTGTATTTTTTAGCCATACCATGTGACTTGTAGAATCCCAGTTCCCTGACTGGGGATCAAACCCAGGCCCTTAACAGTAAAAGTGGAGACTCCTAACCACTGGACTGCCAGGGAATTCTCATGGTCATTTATTTTTAAAAACATAGCTATCCCATCATACAATAACTTAATTTAATAAAAAAGTATTCAAGTGTGTTGACTTTTTATAGAGAGCCAAACTTTAATCCAATTTAATCCAATTGTAGTGACAAACATTGAAAGACTGTTTCCAGTCAAAAAGAAATATATACATTTGACCCATTCTTGATTTGCAAGGGATATGGTGCAAGAATGGTATTTTCTTTATCTTTAGTCTCGATGGTTAATATGTCTCCTGGGCATGCCTCTAATTACCATAGAGAACCAAGGTATGGAGAGTTTTTCTTCATGCATTTTATCCCAACTTGGAATCTTTCTTAAATGTGTATAACTTACCAGCACAGGATAGGGTATTTGAAAGTAATTTTCTTTTTATAAGAAATTTGTTTTTATTTGAAGGATAATTGCTTTACAATATTGTTTTGATTTCTGCCATACCTCAATATAAATTAGCCATAGATGTACATATGTCCCCTCCCTCTTGAACCTCCCTCATGAAAGTAATTTTCTTTGTGTATTTGATTTGAATGTTCTCCTTTGTCCCCTGCCTCAAAGATAGAACTAACAGTCTCCTTGGGATTTCTTTTCTGTCTTTTAAGGAATAAGTCAGCAGCCTGACCCCGGCTTCACTGGGGCCACCGCACCCCAGAGCCCTCTGATATCACCCCGGCTGGCGCACACCCAGAGCCCCATGCTGCAGCAGTCCCAGGCAAACCCAGCCTACCAGGCCTCCTCGGACATGAACGGGTGGGCGCAGGGGAACATGGGTGCAAACAGGTATGTCACGTGTCTGATAGAAGCAATCACCAGGCAATCTTTCTATAGCCCACCTGCCTCTCTTCTGGAGAGTTCTTCTTTGTTCAAGCAAACAATACCAAGTAAACATCTCCTTTTCCTAGGGCAGAAGGTACCAGAATTTACCAAACCCTAGCTTAATATTTTTGCCTTGGGAGTAAAAGGAACCCTGCCCTCCCTTCCCCCCTCCCCAAGAAGGTAGAACCCCCAATGTATGAGAGCAAGTGCTGTGGAAGGCAGTGGCCTGGAAGCCACCCTCTTATCATGTGTACATATTCAGTTGCTTCAGTCATGTCCAGCTCTTTGCAACACTATAGCACAGCAGGCTCCTTTGTCCATGGGATTCTCCAGGCAAGAATACTGGAGTGGGTTGCCATGCCCTCCTCCAGGGGATCTTCCTGACCCAGGGATTGAACCCACATCTCTTATGTCTCCTGCATTGGCCGGCACGTTCTTTACCACTAGCGCCACCTGGGAAGCCCACCCCCCTATCAGTGCAGGTAATAAAAGCAAACAGAAACCTTGTCTGGTGCAGACATGAGAGTGCACAGTGTCCCTCCAGACTTTGTCCAGCACCCCTGCATGGTGATGCTGGGGACAGCTCAGAATGCAGTGACCCCTGCAGCTTGGCTGAGCCCTTCCCCTGCCGTCTCTGATCTCACCATCTACTGGCCATCGCCCCATGCTGCGCTCCCCGGGTTCTCTCAGCCTGGCTTTATGCACCCTGCCTCCCTGTTTGTCCAAGGGCTCTAACATTTTCATTTTTCACTGTGTTTCTAGCATGTTCTCGCAACAGTCCCCTCCACACTTCGCACAGCAGGCGAACACCAGCATGTACAATAACAATATGAACATCAATGTATCCATGGCGACCAACACAGGCGGGATGAGCAACATGAACCAGATGACCGGACAGATCAGCATGACCTCAGTGACCTCCGTGCCTACGTCAGGGCTGTCCTCCATGGGTCCTGAGCAGGTGAGCACCCCAAGGAGAAACCACCCTCAGTTTCCTGATTGCAACTTCTTGTCTGTTTCTGCTATTAAATGAGTCTTTCCATGTGCTTAACATCTGCCATTAACTCCCACATTTATTTTGAAGAGTGTTTTTTCACCTTACCATCACTAGTGTTAGTACAATTAACAGAAATACTTGTTGTTGATAAAATAAACACAAAAGGATCCCTGACAGCTCAAAAATCTTTTAAAATATTTCTTAACTTTCTAGTCTTCTGAATTTTTCTCTTATTTGAAGGATTTTGCAATATCAAAAATGAATGTCAAAAAATGGAGTGACGAAATGTGCTTTCTTAAATAGTTATATTTGGGGATTTTCTTTTTTTTTTTAAAGGATGATAGCAACATTTATTATATTTGGTGTTTTGTATGTATTGAATATATGTATATATTTATATGTATTAAATAATATGTAATAATATATCATTATATCCATATGCATCATCTGTGTTTTATAAGTAATTCAACTCATATTTGGGGATTTTCAAGAACTGATGTTTTTTTCTCCTAAACATAAAAGCAGATGAAGGGAGCTCCCTGGCAGTCCAGTGGTTAGGACTCTGCTTTCACTGCTGAGGGTGCAGGTTAAGTCCCTGGTCAGGGAACTAAGATTCCACGTCATGCAGCATGGCCAAAGACGGACAGGGGGTGGGAAACAATCGTTGGTCTAATTTGCACTCAAAAAAGTAAACATGTAAAGACATAAGATATAATGATCATCTGAGTTAAATTCATCCATTTCAGTCCATTTTAGTTCAATGATTCCTAAAATGTTGATGTTCACTCTTGCCATCTCCTGTTTGAGTTCAGTTCAGTTCAATCACTCAGTCGTGTCTGGCTCTTTGCGACCCCAATCTCCTGTTTAACCACTTACAATTTGCCTTGATTCATGGATGGACCTAACATTCCAGGTTCCTAGAAATATTGCTCTTCTTTGGAGTAGCCATCATAGTCAACAAAAGAGTCTGAAATGCAGTACTTGGATGCAGTCTCAAAAACGACAGAATAATTGAACTCTGTTCATTTCCAAGTCTAACCATTCACTATCACAGTATTCCAAGTCTATGCCCCAACCAGTAATGCTGAAGAAGCTGAAGTTGAATGATTCTATGAAGACTTACAAGACCTTCTAGAACTAACACCAAAAAAAGATGTCCTCTTCATTATAGGGGACTGGAATGCAATAGTAGGAAGTCAAGAGCTTCCTGGAGTAACAGGCAAATTTGATTTTGGAGTACAAAGCGGAGCAGGTCAAAGGTTAATAGAGTTTTGCCAAGAAACACACTGGTCATAGCACACACCGTCTTCCAACAACACAAGAGAAGACCCTACACATGGACATCACCAGATGGTCAACACCGAAATCAGATTGATTATATTCTTTGCAGCCAAAGATGGAGAAGCTCTACACAGTCAGCAAAAACAAAACCAGGAGCTGACTGTGGCTCAGATCATGAACTCCTTATTGCCAAATTCAGACTTAAATTGAAGAAAGTTTGGAAAACCACTAGGCCATTCAGCTATGACCTAAGTCAAATACTTTATGGTTATAAAGTGGAAGTGAGAAATGGATTCAAGGGATTAGATCTGCTATACACGTACCTGAAGAACTATGGACGGAGGAATATGGTACAGGAGGCAGTGATCAAGACCATCCCCAAGAAAAAGAAATGCAAAAAGGCAAAATGGTTGTCTGACAAGGCCTTACAAATAGCCGAGAAAAGAAGAGAAACTAAAGGCAAAGGAAAAATATAACATTTGAATGCAGAGTTCCAAAGAATAGCAAGGAGAGATGAGAAAGGCTTCCTCAGCAATCAATGCAAAGAAATAGAGGAAAACAACAGAATGGGAAAGACTAGATATCTCCTCAAGAAAATTAGAGATACCAAGGGAACATTTCATGCAAAGATGAGCACAATAAAGGACAGAAATGGTAGGGACCTAACAGAAGCAGAAGATACTAAGAAGAGGTGGCAAGAATACAAAGAAGAACTGCACAAAAAAGATCTTCATGACCCAGATAATCATGATGCTGTGATCACTCACCTAGAGCTAGACATCCTGGAATGTGAAGTCAAGTGGGCCTTAGGCCTTAGGCCATAGCATCACTATGAACAAAGCTAGTGGAGGTGATGGAATTCCAGTTGAACTATTTCAAATCCTGAAAGATAATGCTGTGAAAGCGCTGCACTCAATATGTCAGCAAATATGGAAAACTCAGCAGTGACCACAGGACTGGAAAAGGTCAGTTTTCATTCAAATCCCAAAGAAAGGCAATGCCAAAGAATGCTCAAACTACCACACAATTGCACTCATCTCACACACTAGCAAAGTAATGCCCAAAATTCTCCAAGCCAGGCTTCAACAGTACATGAACCGTGAACTTCTAGATGTTCAAGCTGGATTTAGAAAAGACAGAGGAACCAGAGATCAAATTGCCAACATCCATTGGATCATTGAAAAAGCAAGAGAATTCCAGAAAAAACGTCTATTTCTGCTATATTGACTACGCCAAAGCCTTTGACTCTGTGGATCACAACAAACTGTGGAAAATTGTTAAAGAGATGGGAATACCAGACCACCTGACCTGCCTCTTGAGAAATCTGTATGCAGGTCAAGAAGCAACAGTTAGAACTGGACATGGAACAACAGACTGGTTCCAAATCATAAAAGGAGTACATCAAGGCTATATATTGTCACCCTGCTTATTTAACTTATATGAAGAGTACATCATTTGAAATGCCAGGCTGGATGAAACACAAGCTGAAATCAAGATTGCTAGGAGAAATATAAATAACCTCAGATACTCAGATGACACCAACCTATGGCAGAAAGCAAAGAAGAACTAAAGAGCCTCTTGATGAAAGTGAAAGAGGAGAGTGAAAAAGTTGACTTAAAACTCAACATTCAGAAAACTAAGATCATGGCATCAAGTCCCATCATTTCATGGCAAATAGATGGGGAAATAGTGACAGACTTTATTCTTTTTGGGCTCCAAAATCACCACAGAGGATGACTGCAGCCGTGAAATTAAAAGACGCTTGCTCCTTGGAAGAGGAGCTATGACCAACCTAGACTGCATATTAAAAAACAGAGATATTACCTTACCAACAGAGGTTCTATCTAGTCAAAGCTATGGTTTTTGCAGTAGTCATGTATGGATGTGAGAGTTGGACTATAAAGAAAGCTGAGCGCTGAAGAATTGATGCTTTTGAACTGTGGTGTTGGAGAAGACTTGAGAGTCCCTTGGACTGCAGGGAGATCCAGCCAGTCAATCCTAAACGAAATCAGTCCTGAATATTCATTGGAAGAACTGATACTGAAGCTGAAACTCCAATACTTTGGCCACCTGATGCAAAGAACCAACTCACTGGAAAAACCCTAATACTGGGAAAGATTGAAGGCAGGAGGAGAAGTGGACAACAGAGGATGAGATGGTTGGATGGCATCACCAACATGATGAACGTGAGTTTGAGCAAGCTCCAGGAGTTGGTGATGGACAGGGAAGCCTGGTGTGCTGCAGTCCATGGTGTTGCAAAGAGTCGGACAAGACTGAGCGACTGACCTGAACTGAAAGACATAACGTTTCTAATATTATTATCTCTGTTTAATTTCTATATAGAATGCAAATAAAAATTAATTGTGAAGGCAGCCAGTGTATTTATAGGGGCTTCTCAGGTGATGCTACTGGTAAAGAACCCACCTGCCAGTGCAAGAGACCTGAGAGATATGGTTTTGATCCCTGGGTCAAGAAAATCCTCTAGAGAAGAAAATGGCAACCCACTCTAGTATTCTTGCCTGGACAATCCCATGGACAGAGGAGCCCGTCAGGCTACAGTCCCTGGGGTCGAAGAGAGTCGGACACAACTGAGAGACTGAGCACAGCACATTTTCACGTTCCTCCACCCTCCCCTCAGAACTCGCATGTGGGAGACTAGATACGGGAAGTGGCCTTCTGTCTGTTGTCCTTTCTCCTGCTAATTCTGCTCCTAGAAACAAAGCAGAAGGTTGGTGGGTGGCTGCTCCCCAGTAGGCATATGGATGTCTCTCCAGATAAAGCCACATCCTGTCCTGTCCTGTCGCCCTCAGGTGAATGACCCTGCTCTGAGGGGAGGCGGCCTTTTCCCTAGCCAGCTGCCTGGAATGGACATGATTAAGCAGGAGGGAGACGCATCACGGGTAAGAAACAACAAAGAAATAAACCCGTGGCTGTGAATATTCCATAGACTAGAATTGGCACAGACACGTTGCCAGCCAGTAGACTGAGGAGAAATGTGTAATATGGACTTCCCTAGCAGTCCAGTAGCTAAGACCCTGCCCTTCCAATGCAGGAGCTACATGCTATGCAATGCCTCCAAAAAAGGGGGGGGGGGGATCTAATTTTATTGGATATACAATGATGTCTGTGTAATTTATTTATTTATTTAAGCTCATTTTAATTGAGCTGATGGTTGCACATGATTTAAAAATGCCCGTTTTGCCCTGGAATGGAATAGCAAGGCAAAAAATGAAATAGCAGAGAATTAGTCATGTTAGCACAAACTTTGATTTCTTTGTTTCTGAATTGTAACATTTGATTTTCAGAAGGATAAAGAGGAAGTAGCTTCTAATTGTTCTCTCTCCCTTAATTAAGTCTAAGTTTATTCTAAGGGGAGGGCTCCTGCAGGTCATATGGTGCAGGGCATTCAGAAGATCTAGGGGTGGATCTTCCTGCTGGTTCAGTGGCTAAGACTCCACTCTCCCTTAATTAAGCCTAAGTTTATTCTAAGTGTTGTAGATTTCATTTTATTTAAGCAACAATCTTAAAATCTTACCTATATTATTTCTTTATCACCTTAAACACTTTTTCTCAGAAGAGTGATGTTACTGTGTCCAACTAAATCTTGAAACAGTTAGGACTGAGAACCCACCTGAGTTGGGAGCCTGGTGGCAGGCCTGTTAACAAAGGGAAGGGCTCTCAACAATTTGGCACAGGTGAGGGGGCCTCTTAAGGTAGAAAATGTTGTCCCTAGCAGTGGATAACTCTATTTTCAAGTTCTGTCTTAAGTGAGAAAATGTAGAATTGATGTTGAATTTCCTACAAAAGAAACAAAGTGGATGCAACCTTTGTGATTGGCGTCATTTAAAATGGCCAAGTAGCCTGATGTTTTCATGCTGGGCCTCATGCTGGTTTTACCAAAAATTCTGAGCCATCACAACTTTCTCTTTATTTTCCCGCAGAAATACTGCTGACACTGAAGGTAGCTGGTTGCTTCTTTCTTCAGCTGACTGGGCTCACTTGCTCAAGACACTTACCAATCCGGAGAGCTGTGTCTCTCCTTTTCGACCCAACCGACCTGCCATCCAGCCCTGCCCGAGCAAGATGAGCTGGCGGGCCGAGTCCCTCGGCTGCTCCTGGAGGAGCCGCCTGTCACGTTGACAAGATGGCCTGCAGCTCACATCCGGACAGTTGTCAGTCTGTTCACTGCATTCACCTTAGTGCAACTTAGATCTCTCCTGCAGAGTAAATGTTGACAGGCAGACTTCACACCCATGTCAGATTGAATGTATCTAAATGTATGTATTTAAGGGAAACAACTCATGCTCTGTTCTCTTCCTGTCTGGCTCCAGACACTGGTTTCTTGCTTTGTTTTCCCTGGCTAACCAGTCCAAAAGATTAAGATTCCATCTGGGGGAAAGAAAAGATTTAAAAAAAAAAAATCAAACTAAAGATGTTTTAAGCTAAGCCTGCCTCTGGGATAAGCAGGACAGACACCATGGACCGTGCCGTATGTACAGACATGCCCAAGAAGTGAAGACCAAGACATCGTAGTTGTATCTTTGCAGAAAGCTCTCAAGACGGTGTTGACAAGCATTTCCAGTTCCTGAACAGATGAAAAAGAGCCTGTGGGAGGGCTGTTAACATTAACAAGTCCTTCTTCCTCTTTTTTTTTAATTTCTTTGATTCAAACCAAACTAGTTCGCCCAAATCATGAATCAAAAAGAAATTGATTTCCAAATTCAATGTGCTTTAGATCCATCAGAAGCTTGAATCAGCGCCTCTTCTTCCATCTGATCCTTCCCTTCCCCCTCTGCCTTCCCCATTCTCCTTTTTTTTTTTTTAATAAAAGCAACAGAAACCAGGTAAGCCCTTTATTATTTCCTTCCAAACTTACCAACCGCTAACTCTGAAATTCCAGAAAAAATGCATTGACTGGAAGGAGAGGAGCAAAGTTAGGACTCGAAACCCATCAGACTTTGGACACCTGCCAGGGAAGTGTGTTCATTCTGTTCCCCAGTGACACTGGCCCCCCACACGGGAGAAAACCATAGTGTGCTTAAAATTGACCGCAGGCATCAGGACAGAGTTCACCTCCGCCATGTGTTTTTTATTTTGTTTTTTTTTTAGCAGTGCTGACTTAATAAGCCGAAGTTTTGTAAGGTACATAAAATCCAATTTATATGTAAACAAGCAATAATTTAAGTTGAGGACTTAAGTGTTTTAATTGTGTAATTTTGTGAGGTATACATATTGTGGAATTGAATCCAAAATGAGGTACTTCAGTGTTCAATTAGATATCTTCATAGCAGTGTCTCCTGAAAGTGTTTTGTAAAGGCTGTCAAGGCCTCGATTAGACCTAATTTGTAGACTTAAGACTTTTTATTTTCTAAATCTTGTGATTCTGCTCATAAGTCATTTATCTAATCTATCTGATATGCAGCCACTGTAGAAACCAATTCTTGATTTTTATATGTTTATATTCTTTCTTAATGAACCTTAGGAAGACTACATGTTACTAAGCAGGCCACTTTTCTGGTTGTTTTTCTTGCCCACTCTGGTAGGGGAATAATCTTTTCTTAATTGGCATCAGTTTCAGACAACTGTAATACCAAGAAACTGGTGACCTTTTTTGAGCTATTTCTCCCCAACTCCTAAGACACCTACTTTCTTACCTAAATTTCAGAATGATGTCTTTTTGATGTCTAAAAAGCAAAGCATTTTATATCTCGTTAGCCAGGCCTTTTAGGAGCAGAGAAGTCTTTTTTCCTTGAAATTTGATTGTTTATTTGTGGCAGGGTGAAAAATACACAAACTACCCCTACTTATATGTGTATCTGTCTATATGGACAGATAACGGAAGTATAGAAAGAGATATAGCCCAAAGATAAATGGTTAAGTAGACAGTCTGAAAGCATGGCTCCGTGCTAAAAAAATGTCCTGGGAAATCTGCATTTCGCTACTTTTTTTCCCACTTAGGGGGTCTCACTACAGGAAAGTGGCCCAGGAACAGCACTTCTTGGGGACCACCAATTCACAGTCCCCCCCTCAAAAGGCTCTGCTTTTCTCAATCAAACCATTGGGTCGCCCAACTGTGATGGAGAAACACGGGCAGACATCGGCCCGAGCTCACAGTCCTCACTGGCACCATGAGGCTTACGTCACTCTTGGTGTCACATGACCAGTTTCCAGTTGATGTTTAGAAACATGTGAATTAGAATGACTTGAACTTCACACAGCACAGAAGAGAAAATGGAGTTTAAGCTGGATTTGTTTGTTTTGGGTTGGAAGTCCCTTTCCACTAGAACACTGTCCAAAAATCCCTGTGTACCTTTTCTTGTTTAACCCTCTGCCCACTGTGTTCTCCTATCAGTCCCAGTTCAGACAGATCTGATCTGCAAATCTCCCATTCCGGTCATTGGGAATAATTCATAATCATTGCCATTTTGAAGGAAGAGAGATGATCAGTTCTCTTACAGCTTAGATCAGGTCATGGGTTTTTTACATCTAATTAAGAAAAGTCAGTGAAGGAATCCTCTGATCACATTGATCGTGATAGAAGCAAAGGCCAAACCAGTCCCTCCATGATCAGTATTTCTCATGGTGTACACAATAAACTTGTTAGACCGAGTACTCGGTTTTCGTTTAATAGAACAAATAATCAGTGTTTTACTTATATTACTAAATGTGAAAAACACATAATGTGAAAAGTATACATACATTAACTTGGTTGTGAAGCTCATCTACGTGTTCATGTAACGTGGTAAGTTGAAAAAGTGAAGTGAGCTGTTTTCCTGCAATGAATTCGTTGGACTCAAAAGATGAAGATGCCCCCTCCCACGTGTATCTCTTATGGCCTGTAACCATTGAAAGCAATGTTTTTGCAGTTTATATAATGCAGTTTTTAATCTGTGTTTAAAAACGGAGTTCCTATGGGCTTAACACATGAAATGGGTGGCACAGATCCCCTTGCAGAACCCAAAGATACACAATCAATTTTGAAATGCAACTTAAGCCATTAATTGTTGGTGTGAATTTAAAATTTTCTAGTATTTGTATGGTAGTATGCTGCCTCCGAGCAAAGCATTCTCTGCACAAAAGAAAATTACTGTAGTGGCTTCGATTTTAATTAGAATTTTCTCCCTGGTGTTTCTTTATAGACTAAAACGAAACCTTTTAAGTTTCTTACTACAGGTAAAAGCTATGTGCAAGAACCTCAAAATGCTAAAATCTAGCATAATGCCTTAGATCTGTTTTTAAGTCTTGTATATTCCTACATAGCTGTCCGATGTATTATATTTGTATAGTGAACTGTGTACAATTTTTTGAATAAGTGCATCATCACTTAACCTTTATGTTGTTGAATGGTGATGATGATACATTTCTTCAAACATTTAACTGTCTTTTTTTTTTCTTATGCCATTTGTGGTTTTATTTGTACAGTTCCTCATGAAGTTGCATCTGAGATGTGTGTATATGAAAAGATTATACAAGGGTAAAATTAAGCAATATATTAACTATGGTTCTTCAGGAGAAAGCTTACAGTGTTTCAGGTTGTGATTTATTTTCAAAATGGAGTTGACTCCAAACATCACTTTGTTCACCTGCATTGATGTTTGTATTTCTAGTGTGAGCAGTTTATGCAAAAGGTAGATATATTCAAGAGAAATTTTAAATACATTTATGCAAGTTAATATTGCTTTGCTGATGCTATTTGCTTATTTGATGTTAAATAATGCTATTGTAAATAAAGAATTCTGTTGTTATTGCATCATTTAATAAATTTTAATGCCTTCGGGTTTTACATGGCTTTGAAGATTTTCTTGAGTTTATATTGTATTCTCATTCACAATTGCAGTTAAACATAAAATTACCTGACTTGCCGTTTAATTATTTCTTAGACTTATACAGTAGTTGGCACTGTTCTCAGCATATTAACATTTATTCTCGCAATGTCCCATTTTCTAGATTTTCAGTCTGAAGCCAAGAGTGGTGTGTCTTGCTTAAGATTATCTGGCAAGTAGAGGTGGAATCTAAATGAATCCTAAATGATGCTATCACCTCTCATTCCCATTTCTCAAAAAACATTTATGAGAATAATGTGGGCTTCTTACCAGCTTATTAAGGTTATACTTTACACATTAGAATAATCATGATGGTTTTTTTTTTTTTTAGTTCTACCAGTTTATTGCTACCAACCCATCTCCCTCCACCCTCATGCACACATGCTCAGTCATGTAACCCCATGGACTTCAGCCCGCAAGACTCCTCTGTCCGTGGATTTTTCCAGGCAAGAATACTGGAGTGGGTTGCCATTTCCTCTCCCATGATGGTTTTAATAGATTGGCTTATTAATAGTCAATAAGCAATGCAAGTACAATATTTAAAACCCAGGTCATAAACTACATGAAATAGAAATCTGGAATTATTTTTTAAAATACACCAAAACTGAAATGAATGATGAGAAAAATCTATGCTATTCACCATATTAGCAAAGCAAAAGAAGAATTAAAAAAAAAAAAATGATGAACTTAACTTAATAGACACTGTTGAATAAATTTGCATAGGATAAATTTCAGCCCCCATACATGACAAAATCTCAAGGAAAAGTCAAGTCACTCAGCAAAGTGAATGTCCTAAAGTTGTTTAAAGTTATTTGATACAATCCCACTGTGACTTCATGGTGAGATACTAAGAATTGAAATCAGAACAAAATAAGTAGCCCACTACCCATGCTAAGAAATTAGGTTGTCAGGAGTTCCCTGGTGGTCCAGTGGCTAAGATTCTGAGCTCCCAATGCAGAAGGCCCAGGTTTGATCCCTGGCAGGGAACTAGATTCCACATGCCTTAACTAAAGATCTTGCATGCCATGACAAAATCAAAGATCTGTGTGCCACAACAACTAGGACCTGGTACAGTCAAAATATTTAAAAGAAATGGGTATCACTGGTGGAATAGAGGAGGGAAAACATTT